CTTGCCTCTTTCGACTTCCTGAACAAGAGGAACAGTATAGCAGTGAGACCAGACCTGGATGGAGTGGAGGAGCGAGAGCTCCAGCATCCAGACCTGGACATAACGGCCTTTCAGAAGGAAGCAGATATAAGGTATGAACCCACGGTGGAATTAGGAAGAGATTTAAATTTCACCTCACCTAGAAGTAATGAACACAGCAGGTTTTTCAATTTTAGATCATTCTGTTTGACAGCTGAATAAAAATAATTGTGCATGTTTGACAGCTGAATAAAAATAATTGTTGCAAAATGTGCGCTCACCATTGCTATTGTCTGTGCTTCAATTTGAACGGTTTTTAAAAGACAAAAAGGTTCCGCCGAACAAGCCGAGACATGTGATCTGGTTTTCGGTCACTCTTTCTTTTGAGCTGATGTTGCTCAATACGTCATGTGCAGTTACCAGGCTGCAGTGTGTGTGCATCGGTGATACTGCAGAGTCAGAGATAAAAGAACCGAGAAAGATATTAAATTAATAAATATTTAAAATGACTCTGGTGAAATCCCAGGCCAAGAAGGGAGATTTGTGTCTCTGGTTTGTTCTCTGTGGAACAGAACAAGTAAAAAAAGGGGGAAATGCTGCCCTCCTCTGTTTCTAATGGGACAATATAATGTGAATTTTTTTTTTCTTTTCCTCTTTTTATTAATTTATTTTTAAATGCTACTGTTAGTGTTGGTCGTTCTCCATTAAAGGCGAACTCTGTCCCTGATTTTTAACCAGGGAAGAAGAGCAGTTCCACTTCAGTCTCCAGGACTTTAGGTGTGTGGCTGTGCTGGGACGTGGTCACTTTGGAAAGGTAGGATGTGACTTTAAAACTCAGGATGTTTTTATTCATTTTATTGATTCAATTATATATAGTTTAAATTGTTATTTGTCCGTTTACCAAAGTGGAATCATTTAGGTTTTTAAAATAAAAATGGAGAGATGTAAATGGGCTCCTCCGTCTTCAGGTTTTGTTGGCAGAGTACAAAAGCACGGGGGAGATGTTCGCAATCAAAGCTCTGAAGAAAGGAGACATCGTAGCTCGGGACGAGGTGGACAGGTAAACGCACCATTCACACCAGTCTAATTCACAGTAATGAAAACTTCAAAAGCTGATGTGTGTGTGACGTCGCCAACCTTTCTCTTCCTCTCCAGTCTGATGTGCGAGAAAAGGATCTTCGAAACGGTCAACAGCGTCCGTCACCCTTTCCTGGTCAACTTGTTTGCGTGTTTCCAGACGCAGGAGCACGTGTGTTTTGTCATGGAGTACGCAGCAGGCGGTGATCTGATGATGCACATCCACGCTGACGTTTTCTCTGAGCCCAGGGCCGTGTGAGTGTTCGCAGGTTTAACCACCGCATCATCAGACTTGGTCAACATCCTGTGTGACTCCTCTGTTTTCTGCTGCTCCTCTCAGGTTTTATGCTGCCTGTGTTGTGCTGGGATTACAGTTCTTACATGACCATAAGATTGTATACAGGTAATTTGGTTCAGTACCAGCCACACCACAGCATTAGAGGGAGAGAAAAAAAAAAGGCAGATCTTAAATTCCTTGTTTCCTCACAGAGATTTGAAGCTGGACAACTTGCTCCTGGACACGGAGGGCTATGTAAAGATTGCTGACTTTGGACTTTGCAAAGAGGGTAACTGACAGTTCAACAGTCTGATCGAGTTCACAGTCCGGCTGTGGTTTCACTCACCTTGTTCTGGAATCATCTCCCCCTTCAGGAATGGGCTTCAGGGATCGCACCAGCACATTCTGCGGGACTCCAGAGTTCTTAGCTCCCGAGGTTCTGACGGAAACCTCGTACACCCGTGCTGTGGACTGGTGGGGGCTGGGCGTCCTCATCTTTGAGATGCTGGTGGGAGAGGTGAGGTCCCGGGGTCGCCCCGTACGTCCACTGTAACCCCACACCTGGTTTGTGATTCATTTGTAACGTGTCTCCCGTTCAGTCTCCCTTCCCTGGCGATGACGAGGAGGAGGTGTTTGACAGCATCGTCAACGACGAAGTCCGCTACCCACGGTTCCTTTCCACAGAGGCCATCTCCATCATGAGGAGGGTGTGTGACATCACTTCATTTGTTTGAATTGTTTTTAAAATCCATAAACTCCTCCTCAGACTCTGATGATTCACAGATGATGATAACCTCAATTGTTCCTTTGTTTTTTTCTAATCCCTTTTATATTTGACTTTTGGATTCTTTGTAGCTTTTAAGGAGGAGTCCAGAAAGACGGCTGGGAGCTGGAGAGAGAGATGCGGAGGAGGTGAAGAAGCATCTGTTCTTCAAGGTGAGGAGGAATGGGGGATTTTCATGTGTTGTACAGAGTCATTTTTTTGTGCTTTAATTCTGGAGAATCTTGACACATGAATATTAGTCTTAGTATGTTGTGGTTTTTACACCAAGATTCAGAGTAAACACCAGGTGGAGTTTTTAAAGGCTTTCATTTGTAGTCACATTCCTCAGGAACAGTCAGAGGAAGAATTTCTTCACCCGTTTCCAGGAGAATCTATCAAACAAAAACAGAATTCCTGTTGGTTTTATCTCAACCTTTTGCAATCAGTTTGATAAAAAAAAACTTAAGAACTCCATGACGCTGTTCTCCGCAGCACATCGACTGGAACGGACTGCTGGCCAAGAAGGTGAAGCCCCCGTTCGTGCCGACCATTCAGGGCACTAACGACGTCAGCAACTTCGATGATGAATTTACCTCAGAGGCTCCCATCTTAACCCCGCCCAGAGAACCACGAGTGCTGAGCTCCGAAGAGCAGAACATGTTCTCTGACTTTGACTACATCGCTGACTGGTGTTAGCCTCGCCTTGACTACAATAAAAACAAAAAAAACATTTACAGAAACACACACACATACACGCCTTGACTACAATAAAAACAAAAAAAAAACATTTACAGAAACACAAAAACACTCATATTCACACACTGTGAACAAAAAGCAAAGGAGCAGCAACTGTAGCTCATGTTTTATTAAAACTCTGCCCCTAAGCCTTGAGGAGCAGCAGTAGATGTTCCTCCTGGAGCCTTTAGTAGGAAATCTTCGTGCCATTGAGAAGAAAGTAAAGACTCCTCCTGAGGATCCACATGAATTTTTAATCAACATGAAGAACTTTTTTTTTTAATGAGAAAGGAACAAAAACAGGGACATTGGTCGCTGCCGTGTTTCTGTCTGACCACTGAGAATGTTTTACATATGAACTCTGAGGAGACGGCAACACATCACAATCATGTTATCCACTGTCACTGTCTTCACTTTTTTTTTCCCCTCTTGTTGATGTGTACAGATTATATCCAGTCCTACATTTTATTGTCATGTGTTTGTTTTTGTGTATTTGAAAAGCCCTCGCCACAGCTTTAGGACTTTATTTTTTACCTTCACTGTAAGACATTTCTGCGACCGTCATGTGTGCGTGTGTGACCGTTCAGTGACTTTAAGGTGCTCGGAGAACATTTTCTTTAACTGAACCGCAAAAGCAAACATCTTGACGACTACTACTGCTGCTTCTTGACTTGAAAAGAACGTGAGAGTCATCACACTTTTCGTGGAGCTCCGTCTCGAGCCACAGTCGATCCCAGTTCAGTGACTGGTTTCCCCTCACAGAAGCCTCACAGTCATAAAACTGTACCAAATAATGTCTGACAGCTCAGAGCCGCTGAGTTATTATTACTTTAGATTAATACTGGAAAGCATCTGCACGCGTACGTTCCTGGAGAGGATAAAAACGTTTCCAACGCCCTCTAGTGGCTTCAATCCAACAATACGCCTTTTTTTTCTAGTAAGGAATAAAACAAAACTTGAAATAAAGTGAAATATTTTTCTGCCAGCTGAAAGATCAGCCTTAGAAACTACAAAGTGTTACTGGTGGTTGATGACCGGTCCTCAGTGAAAAGCTGTCTATCTTTCTTGTTAGCCTAGTGTAAATAAACAATGACTCTAAAGTTAGTCTGCTACGGCTGCCCTACCAAAAACGACCATTTTTTTTAAACTGCAAAAAGTTTTTAAAAAGAAAAGAAAATCGGATTAATAGAGCTAATGAATTCAGAGTTTTTTATTTTATTTTTGTGGGATGTAGGGAACTTTAAGTTTAAGTCTTTAAATTATACTGGTTAATTGTTTATTTTTTCATAAAGTTCTTTTATTATTTTTTAAATCTGAACCCAGCAGATGGCTTTGTGGCCACCTGCCCATTGACCACACATGAACGACACTACAGGGGAGGGCAGGGTACATTATATATATATATATAGTATATATACTGTACACAATTAAGCTGAAAGCACTAATTTTATCATTAGCTTTAAATATCTGTGTTTTCTTATTGATAAATAGATTGTACAAAGTTTTTTTTTTATATTCTTTGCTTGTGCATGTTGTCGCCAGAACCGGTGGAAAAACTTGATGGTACACACACACTACACACACACAAGTCAACTCTGTTTTGCTGTTCACTCTGGTGTAAAAAAAAAAAACGGTGTTTGTGCAGTCAGTGTTTGTTCCCTACTATGAATACACAAATTAAACTTTTGTATTAGTGACTTTGTACCTCTGTGTGGCCCGTTCATTAGTTTGGCTGGGTTTATGGTGGCCTTGGATCCCACTGTATTGACTTTAGTTTTTATCTGGTGTACAGTATGCCTCCTCTGTGGTCTCGTCTGTGTTCACTGTTGTATCGTTTCAGTTATAGTTAGAGAGTGACGATGTGTGTCGACAGTTGCAGTGAGGGTCCACTTCCTTTTTATCAAACCTGACCAGTTTAGTATGAGTTACCGCATATGGTGTAGTGACCGTCAGCTTCAAGTACCATTTTGTCACTATATTTGAACTAAGCCGGTTATATCTACCACCACTAGGCGGCAGTAATTCCCACTTTTCTGAAGTAGACGTTACAATATTTTTATATTGATATATATATATGGCGTACATGTGAGATACTGAATCCTTTTCATTAATGAGATGATTTTATAATGGTAAATTCTTTTTTTTTATTTTTAAATTATCTTAGACAATTCATTTTTCTACAGGATTTTTTTGGTTTTAACAGTAAGAAAAGCAAGCATCAATTACAAAGGCCAAATAATAATGGACATATATACATGTAGGGCTGCAAAAAAAATAGAGTAATGTTTATAAAGAGTAGCATCTTGTGATTTTCTTTTCTTGATCAGTTCTCCCACAGTGAACAGAACATCTTTGGTCAAAGAACAAAACATTTGAGAACGTAATTCTTTTAAGGTTGGGTAAATAATTTTATAATCAAGACAAATGGAACAAATCAAGATAATTTAAATAAACAAAGGGTTATTTAATCATGGAAATAATGGTTACATGCAGCCCTAAAAACATGGTACAGTATATACAGTCAAATGAAATACTGTAAGAACAGTCTGAAGGCTCTTTTTTTTTTCAATAAGTGGAATGTGTCTGTTTGTTCTCCCTCTAACAGCACCTTAGACCAGGCCTGAATGTCTTAAGAAGATTTGTGTCTTCTTCCATGTTTAACAAAAATAGGATTTAAAAAAAGAGCACAATCCTCTAAGTACAGCAGAAAAACACAACTTTAGGCAGTTTCTCCTCACAGCTGGGGCAGCTTGTCGACTGGTGTGTCAAACTTGAAATCTGGAGGGAACAGTTCTGCAGCCCGGGGGTAGATGAGTCGGTAGGACTGTCTGATGGTGACGTCTGCAACTCCAGCAATGTCACCGATTTCTGGGAAAGGAACACAGCTTAGTCTGAGTCGAGATCTAAACACTGTCTGGGATTTTTAAGGATAATTGCAAAATTCTTTTTATTGTACCTTTCTGGGTCTTCTTCTCTGCTGAGGCCTGTGAGGCCATGTAAATGGCTGCAGCGGCCACAGAGATTGGGCTTCTGCCGGGTACCAGGTCCAGTTCCACGGCCTTCCTGGCGATGAAAGTGGCCGCCATTTGCACTTGTTTGGGCAGCCCGAGGTTTGAACAGAAACGGGACATGAAGTCGCCGGTGGTGATGAGGTCCACGCTGGTCTCCAGTGCCTTCAGGATCAGCTTGAAGCACCGACCGATCTCTTTCTTGGAGATCCTGGAGACGGCACAAATCTCTGTGGAGGAGAGGTTAGGATGAGTTCACAGTATATTTAAATATTCGTGACATCTATGGTAGAACTGGAATAGGCCCCTTCATTTACTCCCCTTCTGTATAATACAGTGTTCTCTTAAATAATGGTCTCATATTTGAATCAAACAGAGTGTGTTCTGACCTTTGAAAGTTCTTGGTACACCTTCTTGTCTGCAGGCGATGTAGAGACACGCTGAAGCGATGGCGTCATTGGCTCGACCCTTGAGACTCTTCTGTTCGTAAACTTGCTTGAACAGGTTGTTGGTTCGGTCCTGCGGAGCAGGGGGATTATTTATTTAGCACCATCAGTGCGTTATCAAACACTTTGAAGACAAACAACAAGACTTTGTTTCATTTCTCGTGTTCCTTTCGCACCACAGGTGTGTGGGTTTCACTTCTCTCAGTCAGCTGATCTTTGACATCTGTCATCTGTAGTTGTGTGAAGCACCAACACTTACTATGATGTTCCTGGGCAGGTTGATGCGATCTGCCATTGTGCTGATTTCTTTGAATGCGTTGAGCATGGCCCTGTCAGAGCTGCTCATGGTTCGACGGTTCTGGTACTTGGAGTTGCCAAACTCATCAAAACTAGCCGCACCGGTTCCCTGTGGAGGAAATGGAAGAGGTCAAAGCAACGGCAACGACTATATTCAGTCTGTAGTTTTTTTATTTCTGCAAAGACCAGAACCTTGAACTAAAGGTCAAATCTCACCTTGCTAATCATTGTGGTCAGGTCTCCTCCATTCAGCAGAGGGTTCTGAGCATCTCCTACTCTGGATGGATCTTTCAGGGCTTTCTCATTAGAAAATGTTCGCCACTCTGAGCCCACATCTATTACTCTGTCACCTGCAGGAGAATGGGATTTAACACATGTAAAAAACATAATTAAAGAATATTTCATGGTGTTTACTTGACACACCCCAGTCCTGTCAGGGCCAAGACTTGAGCTGGCAATCTTGCAATAAAGGCTTTAATCACTAGGGCAGTGGTCCCTAAGTAGATCATGATCTACAGGTAGATTGCAAATGGATTGCTGGTTAATCATCAAAATCAAAATAAAACAAAGAAATGCTAACTTGTTCAATTTAAAGGGTGTGGCATAGATGCGTGTGATGATTGACGTCCTTTTCTGTGATAACATTCAGTTCGCGCAGCCTCAAGGAGTGAACAGAAAAGGCATTTTAATCTTATCTGTTCTTTCTTTAAGTCCTTCATTAGATTCTTTGCTTATAGCGCTGATATAAAGCCATATTTATATTTGTATGAGTGTTCTGTAGTGACAGTAGCTGGAACAGGAACCATCGCTCTTGCATCAGACAGCAGCTGGCTTCTGAATCCCTGTATGACCTGCACCGTGCTCCTGGGGCTCATTAGAGGAAAAACTCAGTCCCCCCCGAGCTTTGTCTGGTACTCAACCTCACATGGGTGAGGTGTGTTAATTGCTTCTTTAACACGTGTGTATGTCTCAACAACAAAGGTGGGGATAATTCGGCCATTTTAAAAAATAATATTATAATAAATTTGGTTTTATTGCAGAAACTCTCCTTGTAAACATTAAAAACTCAAATACAAACAGATTTATACATATATTAACAATGCCGTTTTTTGAATAGAAAAAGGTGTTAACATTTTTACAGTCTTGTAGACTGTAAAAATCAAGATCTGACTGTAGCAGAAGGGAGGAAATAAAATGCACAAATACAGGAAACCATAAGAGAAAGGAAGGATGTTTGCTGGTGCTGAACGAACTTTCATTCAGTGACGGCAAATCTTACCTACGACAAGGCCACACTCGGGACATATCATGTCCCCTGCTCTGTAGTCCTCCACCAGAATAGCTTCAGGGTGGTTTGGACACGTAACTCTGGGAAGAGTCAAACCATCTTTGCTAGAGAACAAAGACAAAAACAAATGATAGTTAGATGTTGAAAATGGATTTATTGATTTATTATGGAGGCATTAAAGGGACATTATCTTTGCATTTTGAAACAGCTGCAGTTTACACACAGGTGACGTTCAGGTTCAACCAGATTTTAATGACGAGTTTCAGAATATTTAAGTCAGACGTCATAATGACATTAACGATAATGCTGTGTAATGAAAGTAAATTATTCAAAAAATGTATTCGATCAAATGGCCAGATTAACGACGGGACGTCTGCAGTTACATTTCACCTTAAGGCAACAATAGTAATGTGCACAATTAAATCATTATAGAAATGATTTAAAAAAACATTAACAAGATAAAGCAGTACAACCTTCGCCCCGTCTATGTCTAGACAGGCATTAGAAGAATACTTTTGATATTCAAATTTAAATAAAAACTGACCATTTAGTGGGATTAAATGTAAACATCTTAAATGAAAATTCTTTCTTTGTTTGATAGAGACAGGCGAAGTGAAGTGAAGCGTTGTAACATCTGTATTATTCGCATACTGACACAAGAGTTTTTGCTCTTAACTAAAGCAGCTTTTGTTTCAGAACATGAGAAAATAACGAAAGACTTATAGAGGTGGAGCTAGAGAAAGAAACAAAACCCACTACTGTCACAGCTAGTAGACAGTAGAAGCTATTATTCGTAGCAGGAGCGGCTGTGAAAACACTGACGCACTAGCAACATCTAACCGGTTAGGCTAAAGCTAACTAGCTGCTGCTTCGCCACAGACAATACATCGTTATTGTTTATATGGCCTTGGAGCTGTGGGCTTTTCTTAACAGAAACTAAAATTTGTCTGAATAGTTCCGAAAATGTATTTTTATTTACTACATAGGACCGTCATAAGAGTTACTGGCAACGACAACAGTATTTAAGCTACGCGAAAAAAAAAAGTTGCTACTAACCGGCTTGTTGACGCCATGTTACTCTTTACTCCGCCCGTGTGTCAAAGAAACAAATGACGACTGCACCCTTATTTATAACCTTTACTCGTCACGTGTCCTTTGAAGTACGGCACGTCAGAGGAACCAAACTATCCAATGCTCTTTTCTCAAAAGTATTTTTTATTATAAAAAATTATACATTTTATTTAAAGGCGCGTATCAGAATGTCAAATTACAACTCGTGAAAAATAATACAACACAACACAGTCACAGCCACATAGAATCGCTTTTCAGTTTATATTCTTAAACTAATAGTTGTTTAGTTATTTCGTATTATTTTTCTGTGCTAATAAGGACTTCGCATCGAGTGGTAAACAGGTTGACATTTTGAAATTTTTACCCAAGAAAATCTTACATTACCTTTCAGTGCTATTCAAACAAACCTAAAGGATAATTGCTTCACTGGTCATAAACAAATCTCAGCTATGCCACATGATGGCGTAGTAACCTTTTTGGCCCATACAAACGTTGTTCAAAGGTTTTATTTATATGAAGTCGTAATAATTTAAAGGTCAATTCTATACAGTGGAACAAAAGTTGTACTATATCGAGAAAGTGGACAGATGGTATCTATGCAGATTGTTTGATATGCTTTTATACACGTTCTGTAAATCCCATAGATGTCACACTGACATTTCTTTGGAGATTATTGTACCAGCTCCCTGGTTATAATCTCTGGTTAATGTGTCTCTGGGAACACCTCCCGTCTACTGCATGTTTCAGCCAGGCGTTACTCGTTAAATTTCCTGTTACTGTCCAAAAAGATTTTGGGAACAGTTTATCACTGACAACAGCCACAGATCCACTGTCCAGACTTGACATTAACTGGTGGGCTACTTTCTGTGGGGCAACCAAGCTGAATCACCATTACACTACTGTTAACCTTCAACTCAGTCTTTAAACTGTACTTCACAAATTCTTAACCCACTGAAACTGGTTGCCAGGGGAAACTGGGCTCCATAGTTAGCTAATTCAACTGTAACTCGCCTTACTAGGTATAAGCGTCCTCACTGTCACCTAATACAAATAAGATCACTTGAACTAATTTCTAAAGGTCACATCTCCCTTGGTGCATAGCGTTGATAATTCAGATTATTACGCAAAATTTAAATCATTTGATAGAAATGTTAAGGTCGATAAAATGTATGAACCAAAGTCTTTATTTGACAGTCTTCGGGACTGCACTGAAGTCTGGTTATCAAAAGAATTTTCTCTTAGCAAACATGCCCTGCTGTGGTTGAAACAGGACACCTGGTATATTGAGCCGTGTTCCTCACCTGGTTTCTTCAGGCTCTATTAGATTATAAACCATGAGGAGTGAAGTTAGTCTCTATTACATTTCCTCATCACCTCTGATCCTGTAACAAAGCTGTCAATAACACTGCACGCCCCGGTGGTTGTTTTTCATTCTTTCGTTTCTTCCTTCTTTTTTTTTTTTTTTTCTTTTTTTCTTTTTTTCTTTTTTTTTTTTTTTCTTTTTTTCTTTTTTTTTCTCTCTCCCATTCAAAGTACAGAGCAGGAGCAAACTGCCAGCGCCAGCAGCCAGCAGCCCAGGACCGGTTGAAACCTGTATGTACCATTGCACAGAAGAGACACTTCCTCCACCCTGGTGCATCACAAGAGCTCAGAATGATGCATGAGTTCAGTGTACAGGGTCCTATCGACTGTTGACTTAATCATTACCGACAAAAACAAACATGATTGTTGATTATTTTTAATCCCCTCATGTGGTTCAAACAGTGTTGTTTTATCAGCATCTGTGTTAATGGGCGTTTGGTTGAAAAAAAAAAGTTTGACAGCTGTGTGCATCCTGTCAAGTTTGTTCTTGGTACTAAAGGAACTCGTGAGACGTTTTTGTGAGTCAGCAAAGTTAGTTCAACAAACCTTAATACTCGGTTTGTGGTGTCTGTCTCACTGTAACAAAGAAGTGGAAGCTGCTGCGTTCAGGTACTACTAGGATGAACGCATATCTTTAAAGTCATTACAATACCAGCTATCGAACAATACAGAGCTCTAAGTTTGAGGGTTACGTACAGCCAAGTTTAATTATTCTAAAAATTCTATTCTATTTAAAATGTTGTAGAATACCATTTGCTAACTCTTTATGTTTGAGAACAATTAAAAAACGATTTGAGTTATGGCAGAGAAACATTTATATTAGCAGCACAGTCATCCATTCAACAGGATTTCGACTCTGAATCCAGCTGTAAAATGTTATTTTTGTTTAAAATAAGTATAATCCTTTTTTTATTTTATAGATGTAATTTTTAAATATTTTTGTAGAATATGTTTATTATTTATTATAAAAAATAAGTCCACCAAACAAAAATATATATTTTTAAAAATATATATAAAATAAAATGTATTGTGTAAATGTGTCAAATGACCAAAAAAATGACCAGTTCTGTGTAGGATTTGCATTTGTTTAGGCTTGGCTTTCGCTACATTCATATTTTGTGTATTTGAGGATTGAGTATTAATGTGTTACATTGGTTGTTTTTACAGTAGACTTTGCAGTAATATCACTGTCCCCTTTTTCCCGACAAGCCGTGAAGGCGACATTAGATAAGCAGGCAGGCGGTGTCACGCAGAACATCCTCCAATGAGCGGCGCCCACTGCAGACACAGCAGCGGTCCGTGGGGCAGAGCGGCTCCATATTGGATAAAGCTGCTCTCTACAGTAACAGGAGTCAGTCTTTGCTGCGTACGCTGTTTTACCGAGAGCCGGCTCAGGTGTGAAGGATGTAAACGACCAAACCGATGTTGTCCGCGCATTCGTTTTTACTAAACGGCGCCATCCCCCGGTAGTTGTTCACCGGGGGCTGAGAATTTGGGTTAGAGGCGCACCTGAGCAGAGCGGCAAAGAGTGGCATGAAGACGAGAAAAGAAAAAACTGGATTAAGATAAGCCCGCTGAAACAGAGCCAGTAAGTAACGTGTATTTAGTTTTTATTTTATTAATTATATTTATACAAAAAAATCCAGTGTCATTCAATGCGTGGACCGTTTGTTGAGCTGTTCGCCAGGTGTAAATATCTAACAACAGGACACACTAAGATGACCCTCAGGTTTCACGTGTTTCCCGAAGTCACATGACTCTCCGAAGAAGTCGGCCAAGTGTTTCAACCCACAACTCTTTCCTCCCACGCTATTGTGCCGATTAGCAGAGATGATGCTGATATCACATTATTGTTTTGATGTTAACCAGCGGACACTAGACATTAAAGGTGGCAGTAATGAACTTCGAGAACAATTGCTGTTTAAATCCCACCACAGAAGAAGTGAAGATGGGGCAAGGCTTTGTTTACCACCAACCCACTGTCCAAACTGCCCTTAGTCTGAATGTGTCATAATGAAGTCACGTGTCTCTGAATGAAGCATTTTATATTTTGTATAGTGTTATTTAAAGATTGTTCTCTGAGGAAAAATAGTTCACAAAGTTATGGCTAATCTGTTCAAATGAGGCGTTACTGGTGTTGGGTTTGTAATGTTGTTGGATGTGTGCAATCACAGTGCCCCCCACAGGTCTGGACCACAAGTGCAACTCAGCAAGTACATCGTCACCAACAGATTCTTGGGAAAACCAGTTCTGTAGAAATCTCATTCTGAGCTTCACTCTTATCAATAATGCTGTACCCAAGGCTGCAGAGGAGGAGCGGATCAAACCTAATCTCCTGTGTTAAAATATAGCAGTGTTTTTTTTTTTTAATTTACCAAGTAGAAAAAGCATCATTTTTATACACTAACAAAGGAAACCCTCAGCCCTCAGTCGCAGCCCCCCTCCAGGAGGGGGCCCCCAAACGGGCCCTAAGCATATTACCCCTTCTGTCCCAGGCAGCTGTAGGTGACAGGTGTCATCCTTTGTCCTAAAATTAGACATTTGAGAAATGTGTTCAACGGTGTTTCTCTCAATCTGGCCCAACTGTCATTTCAGGACTTGGTCAGTCAACCTGCCCAGTGGTTGGTTAAATTCTAAAGCTCTGGGACACTAGCTTTAAGTGTTCAGCGGTGACCTAATAAATAATGTGATGTCATTTTATTGAATATCAGATATGATGCCTCCATATAATAAAGCGACTCTCTGTGTATTGCAAACATAATAATGAATAATTCATATTATCCACTTGTGCTGAATGTCAGGCTTTTTGGCGTGTTGATAAATTATGTAGGAGAAAAGGTTATTCCAAATACCCAGAGTTGTCTTCCTACCATGAGGTTACCTCTGAGACTATTTTTTTTTTTTACGTTTACCATGCTCAGAATATTGTTCCACGTACCATGTAACAGTAGTATACAGTAGTTTTACAACGTGGGGTGTGTTTAGTTTAGTTACTCCCATCGAATATTATCGACAATTTATGACCAGTTTCAACACGCAGCCGTGTCTTATGAACAACTTCCTGTTTTAAAAAAACGTTGTGCTTGGCAATCGCCTCACCAACACTAAAAAAGAACTAGAAAAATTCATTCCTGATGTCTTAAAACTGTCACCGGAAACCACAGAGTCAGTGGCAGTCATGTTGTTGTTGAACTTTACGGCCCAAAACGGATAAAAAGATATTATTCAGGGATCTTTCGTTGATGTGGTGAGATGAAACTCTCTCTCTCTCTCAGTTTAACACTCAGAGTTGGAGTGTATTTTTCTTTTTAAGAAACACCCTGCAGTTGCAGCAGAGGCTGAGGTGGCACAATATTTAATCGATGCAGCTCCGTTCTTACAGAAGTGCAGACTGAGCAGAGAGGGACTTTCTCTCGGACTAAAATAGTAGAAACACGTTTTCTGGAACATTCGACCCTGCCAAATACATCATTGCGGCCCACTTCTGAGAAACAAGCGCCTTCAGTAGTCCAAACAAATATAAATCTGACAACTCCATATTTAGTAAACAAGTGTCCCAGTCTCCTGTGACTGTAGTTTGTTCTCTGGCTGATGCAGCTGGGTTTAATTCAGCCCCCGTTTCAATTTTATATATTCTTAAACCGTGTCAAGAAAATCGAAAAGGTCGGTTGTTGAAATGAATGATATCATACAAACAATGGCAGTCGTGCACTAGTGGCTGCAAATGTACTGTACGTGCTAATGGAAATGCAAAATACCTTAGTCATGTTAAAAAATAGCTGAATTGTATAACGGTCACAATTTCAGCAAACAAGAAAAACGTAAAACCATAATAATAATAATAATAAAATACATTTATTATATATAATGTGTGTATTATAATAAATATGTTATTTATATATATACTTGTAAATGCAAAAATAGAAAAAAAATAATTTATTCAAATAAGCCATTTAAACAACATTCAATATTGTGACCTAAACCACAGACTCAACTATGAGCCCAAACACACAACAAAAACGTCAGCCAGTTGTTCATTCATGTTATCATGTAAACAGTCATTAGTGAGTCAGAGCAGCTGCTGCTCGTCTGCTCACTGTTCTCCCAGTAACAGCGGGTTCGTAGTAAACCTTCATTTATCCCAGACTTGTAAAACATTCCTGAATAAAATCCAATGAAGACTGAGGGGAAGTGAGTTCACAGTCATCCAGCCCAACACGTATGATAATGAGGAGGAGGAGGAGGAGGTGACATCAGAGTGACTCATTCACAGCTCGTGGAACTACACAGGGTTTAACGGGGACTCCCCCCTGCCCTCAAAAAACTTTCTGATGCCACCCGGGGAATTACAGGAAAAGAAAAGTTATTTTTAAAGCTTTTTGTGTATAACTTTACTCACTGAGAAATAGCAAAAATAACTTTTTTAACCAGTTAATCTATTGTTTTGTGACCACAGATATGACAATCTGCACCTTTATTTTTTTTTTTTTTTTAAATCCATTAACCAACCCTTTATTTGTTGCAGAGATGTTTACGCTCACCGAGGTGGCGTCCTTGAACGACATTCAGCCCACGTACCGCATCCTAAAGCCGTGGTGGGACGTCTTCATGGACTACTTGGGCATCGTCATGCTCATGTTGGCCATTTTTGCCATGACCATGCAGATCACCAAGGACCACGTGGCCTGTCTTCCTTGTCTAGAGGATCCAGATGAGGCGGCCGGACCCAAACCCGAGCCCTTCCCTCATCACACGGCTACATCTGCAGCAGCCACCGCTGCGCCCGTGTCCAGCACGCTGCCACGCATCTCCAAGGACTTACCGGACGAAGTTGTCCAAGAGATCCACGTAAGACACCAACACACAGTGGTGGCAGAGAAATATCTCAGTCAGCCTGAGCCCACAGGGGTCAGAACTAACCTGGACTATCAACAGTACATCTTCGTCAACCAAATGTGTTACCACGTTGCCTTGCCCTGGTACTCCAAGTACTTCCCATACCTGACTCTTATCCACACGCTGGTTCTAATGGTCAGTAGCAACTTTTGGTTCAAATACCCCAAAACGAGCTCCAAGATTGAGCACTTTGTTTCAATTCTGGGGCGGTGTTTCGAATCCCCCTGGACAACCAAGGCTTTGTCCGAAACCGCCTGTGAAGACTCCGAGGAGAACAAACAGAGGCTGACCAGCACCGCGTCTGTCCCGAAACAGGTGACTTCGGAGGGGAAGGACGAAAGCACCACCCCCATGCTGGGCGTGAAGTTCTCTGCAGATAAACCCATAGCCGAGGCTCCGATCAGCATGACCATTCTGGACAAGAAGGACGGGGAGCAGGCTAAGGCCCTGTTTGAGAAAGTGCGGAAGTTCCGAGCTCACGTGGAGGACAGCGACTTCATCTACAAACTCTACGTGGCGCAGACCATCGTCAAAACGGTCAAGTTCATCCTGATTCTGTGCTACACTTCCACGTTTATGGCTAAGATTAATTTCAAGCACAGCTGTGAACCCGATATTAAACCGCTGACGGGATACAAGAAGTTTTTTTGCACACACAACATGGCTTTCATGCTCAACAAGCTGCTGATCAGCTACATGGCTCTGATTCTGATCTACGGGATGACCTGTCTGTACTCACTCTTCTGGGTGTTCCGACGACCGCTGAAGGAGTACTCCTTCGAGAAGGTCCGGGAGGAGAGCAGCTTCAGCGACATCCCCGACGTCAAAAACGACTTTGCGTTCCTTCTACACATGGTCGACCAGTACGACCAGCTCTACTCCAAGCGCTTCGGCGTCTTCTTGTCCGAGGTCAGTGAAAACAAGCTGAGGGAGATCAGCCTCAACCACGAGTGGACGTTTGAGAAGCTGCGGCAGCTCGTGACCCGAAACCCACAGGAACAGCAGGAGCTGCACCTCTTCATGCTCTCCGGACTCCCGAACGCCGTGTTCGACCTCACCGATTTGGAAGTGCTGAAGCTGGAGCTGATTCCTGAGGTGAGGTTCTCGGCCAAGGTCTCCCAGATGACCAGCCTGCAGGAGCTCCACCTCTGCCACTGTCCCGCCAAGGTTGAGCAGACGGCCTTTGCGTTCCTCCGCGACCATCTCCGTCGTCTTCATGTGAAATTCACGGACGTGGCGGAGATCCCAGCGTGGGTGTACCTGCTGAGGAGCCTGAGGGAACTCAACCTGATCGGCAATTTGAGCTCGGACAATAACAAAATGATCGGTCTGGAGTCTATGCGAGATCTGCGGCACCTGAAGACGCTCGTCTTGAAGAGCAACCTCACGAAGATGCCCACGAACATCACGGAGCTTTCGCCGCACCTGATCAAATTGGTAGTGCACAACGACGGCACGAAACTGCTGGTACTGAACAGTCTGAAAAAGATGACAAGTTTAATTGAACTGGAGCTGCACACCTGTGAGCTGGAGAGGATCCCCCACGCCATCTTCAGCCTGATCAACCTACAGGAGCTGGACCTGAAGTCGAACAACATTCAGACCATAGAGGAGATCATCAGCTTCCAGCACCTCAAGAGGCTGACCTGCCTCAAACTGTGGCACAACAAAATAACCAACGTCCCGTCCTCCATCGGTCAGGTGCGCTCCCTGGAGGCGCTCCACCTCTCGCACAACAAACTGGAGTGCCTGCCTCCAGCTTTGTTCACTCTGCCCAAACTGCGGCACCTGGACGTCGGCCACAACTCCATCACAGTGCTGCCCCCCGACGTGGGCCTCCTCCAAAACCTCCAGCACCTAGCCATCAACTCCAACAAGCTGGAGGTCCTCCCCAAGCCGCTGTTCAGATGCACCAAGTTGAAGGTGCTGTGCTTGGGGCACAACGCGCTCACCGTGCTCCCGGAGACCGTGGGTCAGCTGGTGCAGCTCACCCAGCTGGAGCTCAGGGGAAACTGTCTGGACCGACTCCCCTCTCAGCTGGGAACCTGCCGCATGCTGCGCAAAAACGCCCTGGTGGTGGAGGATCACCTCTTCGACACGCTCCCAGTGGATGTTAAAGAGAGCATCAGCCGAGAGACCAACGTGTCCTTCACAAGTGGCTTATAATACAACAGCTGCGACATTAGACAGGCCACACCCATGCCTGTAGAATAGATGGTCCATTTACTTTCAGTTATTGTCACGTCAACACTATGATTCCATTGTTTTTTTTTCAATGTTTTAATAAGTTTTATTCAGTTACATGTTCAAACAAACCATTGATTATTTGTTTATTTAAGTGTGTCCCTGATTTAGCTTTTTTTTAATATTATATATTTTTTAAAAGGTTAGAAATGATGTTCATCTATAGACCAAAACTGTTTGATCCAGTGACACAGTACGTAGAGTAGGGCTGTCACTTTTTTCCAAAAAACGAAGCATGGCAACAACTGGAGGTCATGCAGCGGGGTCGTGCACTCCACCCTCGTAAGTGAATAAAAATAACACGGCGCATAAACGCACACTCACCAGGAGGTGACTTTCACCAGGCCCTCTCAGCATTCTGCCACAACACAGCTCTGTTGTGGTGGAAAACAGCAATAAAACACCAGCAACAATGTGACATCATTTTTTTTTTCTCAAAATTTCTGGACCTCGATCAATTCCCACAATGCAACAGCATGATCTTGCCCAAGTTTTGTGAAGGGGCTGTTCTGTGCAACAGCCCGTGTTCATTTCACTGCTGAAACCATGGATGTAGCTGGTTTGTATGTACCGTACTTTCGTTCACGTTTCATTCAGCGTATAAAATAGAATGACTCTGCAGAATAATTTTATTTTTCAGACCTTCACTGCCTTTTTCTACACTTCTGATCGGCTCTGTGCTTTCCCTGTGCACCCACACGGACACAGAGGAAATCAATTCCGAAACCTGATAAATGCCAGTTTATGTGATTTTTGGCTATCGCTTGCTTGCTAACAGCAAAACCCAATAGAAGAGTCTGGTCACTTCTCAAAGATGAGGCAGAGGAAGGTTGGCTTCTGTCAGGTCGGGCTGCATTTGAGCTCTTAGTGATGATCTGGTGGAACATGCAGCAACAACTTCAGGTACTCTGAGGAATTTACACAGTTAGCGCCAAGTTCAAATTCCAGTTTTGGAGGAAAGGTGACAGCCCTAGTGTCGAGTGCTCATTGTCTTAGCCACTCAGGTGTAATTGTTACCATGGGGAACAATCTTTTGCCTTAACTGCTGCTATTTTGATGGAAAGGCTTTCACAACTTTAAGGCCAAATAGAAATAATTCTCTTTTTTTTTTCTTTTTTTTTCCAATGTCTTTCAAATCCCTGTGTATCCTGTGGAAACGAGCTCCATGTCGCTCCTTCTGTGGTATTATTTAATATTTAAATGTATGTTTTCTAGCTAACAGAGCTCAGAGTTGTTGAACTCAGGTGGAGACTAAGCATCAGAATGAACCTTTAACTTACTGTTGTAGAGATTGTAAACCAAGGCCTACAGTGACATTTGAATTTCCATTGCGTTACTTTTCTGACGATACGTACTAAAGACAGCGTGAGCAGGTTAAAGGGAACTCTTTTTGTAACTGACGCTTCAGAGTTTAGAATGTCAAAAATGACCGCTCACATTTATTTTCCTTTGTGTCGCGTGACATGACATGTTCACATTTTGTCTTTTTTCCTTCTTTCTTCTTAATGTATCTCTGTGTAGGCCTGTGCATGTGTTCCTCTGAGCTGTGCAACCTCGATTATCCCCATGCTCAAAGTTCATACCTTTATGGCACAATAAAAGACCATTTGAATTGAACGTCTTATTGTTATACTTTTGCTTCAAGTGCTCAAATAATTCTATGAAATATATCAGCGTTCACAGTTTACAAAGAGATGCTGCAATTATGATATAATAACAATATAATATTAATATATAAGACATTAACAGTAATGTAACTTAACACAATAAAGTTGTGATCTTTATTTGCAGTGCTCTTAATTGCAGTATACTGTATATTTGCAATTTTTTTTCTATTTTTATTTTTATGAATACAAACAGATAGTATGTCATTGGTCTTTATGAATACAAACAGATAGTCAATAACTTCCAAAGCTTTATTGTTAATAGTTAACAGCATAAGTCTCGACCCTTGCATTTGTCCATCCACGTGATACTGTAGATTCTGCCATTATTTGACAGGAAGTCAGTGATGAGTCCCAACAGAGCAGGAGTAATAACCAAATTAGGTCATATTTGTAGAGGTCATGCCTGTTATCTGCATGCAGCCCCCTGATTAGCAGTAATCAGAAATACTGTCACTGAACTTCTTGAACTTTCTTGAGGGCACACCAGGGTGTAACCAACCAGGAGAAACTCTATCAGGGTTTCTGCAGACGTCTACCCGCTGCAGTTTGTTGTGTCGTTCTATTTGTTCCGCTGCAAAACACCTGCTAAACATTCAAGGGTGTGTATTTGTACAGCTATTATTTAAGTTTTTTTAGCTGAAGGGCTAAGAAACATAGTTTTTCCCTCATATTCAATTCTGAAGGGCTAAGAAACAGAGTTTTTCCTTCATATTCAATTAATTTTTTTTTAAAATTAAGCATAATATATGTATTATATTTATGAACTTATTATGGTGCCGTATTGTTAGGAAATGCTGCCCTCTGCCGGAGTGTGTCCAGCTCCTTTTAGGGCAGCTAGCTTTGCTCCACTTTAACACATACTAGCACAACAGCTCTAATATCGCCACCTAACAATGAGCCGGCAAAATAATTATCGTTTTTACCCTTCGTCGTTACGGCGGCCAGCTGCTCCTGCGTACGAGCAAACACCAGGGAGGTAAACTAATGCTTAGCATTTTTTTTATCTGTGTTTGAACTGCTATTATGTATATAACGTGGATGTAACGGCAGTGCTGGTTGACTGTGTTGTTAACATGGACTGTATGCTGTTCAGAATACCACAGGAGTTCAGGGAGGCTATGAAACGACTTCCTGGGAAAGCAGCAGAGACCCCCCGAACAAGAACACCTGACTCGGCTACAAAAGACATACAGAGACCGCTGGTCCGAAAACGCACAGGTAAGAAAACACTAAGTGCATTTTAAATATTTTTTTTCATTAATAATACACTTTATTATTAACATAAGATACACTACATGGACATGCCTCTATAATAAACCATAAAATTATTATGTGTGGCTTTTATAAGTATATAGTGCTTTTTTATAGCAGGAAAACTGAAAGATTTATAAGACAGTAGTGAGACCTGCTATGATGTATGATTGTATACATTTTATTAAGTCATTTTTAAACACAATTTTAACAGTATTTGAAAAGAAATATCTTGGTGTCACGTTTAGAAATGGGTTGAATGTGTTTGTTAAATAGGACTTAATTATCACCAGGGTTTTTTCCTTCTTTTGTTCACAGTTTGACCGCTCATCTCTGAATATAATTTTATAATCTGTTCAGCTTTTATCCCTTTTTTACTGCACAGCAAAAGAGTCTGTCGATAAGTGGAAGTCGTCGTTTAAACCCGTGGGACATCAGGATGAGGATGATGATGATGAAGACCAGAGCGCGAGCAGTTCAGAAAAGTAGTAAACCGTTATTTTGTTTCAAATACTAGCAGAAGTATTTCAGTGAGGCGCTGTCATTCAGTGATGACTCTACCTTCCTGTGATTTCTCTCAGAGTGGAGCTCTACGACCCGTATGATCTGGTTTCATCTGACCCCGAAACTGAGATCCGACAGAAGAACAATCACGACTCCCCTCTATCCGTTCAGAAGCTGAATCCCCAACAATCATCTGCACGAAGAAGTCGATGGGACATACCCTCCTGTGGAACAGCGAGCGCGCCCGTCGGCAGTGGTGACCTTAGAACTAATCCCAGACCAGAGGATGGTCAAGGGTTGAGTCTGGGTCGGAGTTTGCCAGAACAACAGTCCTGCAGCTCACACACACACACGTGTCTTGACCAGCCCTTGTACGTCCCCTTAAGTGGAGAAGTAGACCGCAACGTTCACGGCCATGACAGGGTTGTTTTCTTATCTCACGGCGAACCAAACAACATGGAGGACAGGAGAAGAGACCTGGAGCACAGCAGAGAGGTATTACTGATCGGAGTGTGATGCATTTGACATTATTGGTGCTCAAACAATGACTGGTGATTCACTGCACGGACGTAGTGACAGCGAGTTGTCTTTTGTTCTCCTCTCTAGGCTACTACCAAAATATCCGCCCCCAAAGTACTCGACTACAACCATCATTCAAGACTGGTGGAAAAAGGTGATTTGTCTGTGTTTCGTTTGTGAATTACACATTGCAGGCCGACTCACGTGTGTGTGTCCAAGACACTGATAAAGGGTGTATGTATGTGTACTGTGGTCTGCAGGTCTGGATCCAGTCCCATCTGCTACAGATAATAAGAGAAATAGGAGCAAAACTGTCATACTGGACAAGTAAGCAGCAGACATGCTCACTCTAGCTCCACTGCAGCTGATATTAAAATGCTGTTTAGGAAGGTAAGGATGAATGAGAATCCTGGAGAATTCCTTTTCCGTTCTCCTCCACTGCGGGCGTTTGTTGCTGGTTGTCTCACATTTCTATTGATCTATGTAAAGTGAGCAACAACAAGCTTCTGTACAAGGTAGAAAATGTGCTCCTGGTTTTTAAAAAACCCTGACATTTGAGCCTGAGGGTTCAGGTTTATGTGGATCCTGACTGTCCAGCGTGTGAGTTGCTCGCCGATTAGTGCACGCGTGTCTGTGAATTATACAGTATTTGCTTTTCTTGGGGGAGCGATTGAAGATGACTGATTGTTGCTAAAACTTTGCAGGATACATGTAGCATGTATGAAATCGTTTCACGTTATCGTCACTCAGATCACTTCCTGCGTATCTGTGCGAGTCCTCAGTCATCCAGGGCATCTCGTCTGAAGCAGATACATCAAGGGCAACTGGGCTGGTTGGATTTCTTTCTTGCTCTTTGGGCCAGGACTCAGCTGTACACTTACATCACAAAGAGCCCTCTTGTGGATGGACATGTACATATCATATCAGGATGTTGATTCAGACTATCTGCCTTCCCCCAGAAAACTCAACTCTTTTTCAGCTAAGGACACAGACAGCCTCCAAGGGCCACACAGCCAGGTCTGCTCCTTAGGTGATAACCCCCTCCCCACACTTTAACCCTCGTGATTACAACATTCCTTCCTTCAGAATTGGGCGTGGTTGGCTTCCTTGTTTCTTTCCAAAGCCCCTGGTTTCAGGTATTCAGCCACTCCGAGGTTAAATACCAGAATTCCCCAGCAGTCAGTCAGTCAGAACTGAAGAAGCCTCTTGGATCAGTTTCTCTTGATGTAAATGCATTAGATCATTTTCTACACCTCTCATAATTGTGTTCCTTCAAGAACAGAAACAGTTCAGATGTTGCAGTTGGTGGAAAAACTGATAAATGACTCTACCTCCCTCAGGAACCCTGTGACCTGTGACCTCTGTGACGTGGAGCTGGCCACAGCGCAGGATTTAGAAGATCACCTGGAGAGTAGAGTCCACTGGGGGACGTTGGAATACATACAAGAGAACAACCACTACGACGATCTGGTCATAGCTTTCCTGCAGGTACTGAAGAACACCACACCTGGCTCAGTGAATCCTGGTGTAGCTCGGAGTAGTGAATAAGTTAAACACAAATGACTGTGTGCTGTACAACAGGAAGTCATGACGTATAAAAGCCGTCAGAGCAGTCGAGCCATAGAGGAGAGCGCTTTCCAAGGTAAGAAATTATAGAATGTTTAGAATGGCATTGTCTACAGTCTGATTGACACAACTGTTGAACCCTCAGCTCTGGAGGAAAACGATCACATGACCAGGGTGGAGGTGTTCCACTGCTCCGCGTGTCGAGTGTTTGTCTCCTCCTCTGCGTTCGCTGTGCAGGAACACATCACTTCTCGAGAACACCTCTCCAACACGCAGGTAAAAGATGCTTTTTTTTTTTTTTTAAAGCTGTCTTTTCTGAATTTTCATTTTGGTCCTCAAAGTGGTGACTGATGAATGTCTCTATTGAAAGCTGTTCCGAGTGCAGCAGAGACGCATTTGCCTCGACAGAGCAGGAACCATAATGAAAGAGCTGGCTCTTCAGTTTGAGCTCTTCAGGAAGGTATCAGTCTCTTCTAATAATATAATCCTTTTTACTCCAGGACGGTATGAATCCATACCTGATTTAAATATATATAGAATTGTAACTAAATGTAATCTAACTGAGAGGCGTCAAATACACTGAGTACTAATAACTAATATTTTTTAAGTAAAATATTCATGTATCAGAATTCTTTTCAACCTCGTGTCCATAAGTCAAACGTCAGCTCCACTAACGTCATCAGATCACTTACCGGAGTCTTCTCATTTTCAGGGAGAAAGGGCGTTTGAATAGCCAGAGTTCCTTGACGTCGTCACGCTGCTGCTGAAGTCGAACTGAAGACGATGAGCAAAGGATTCGGTTTGACTCACGGCTAGCTAAATGCTAACTTCCTGAAGTTATTTCACACCGTCGAGTCTCGGCAAGATGAGAAGACAAATCCTTACTAATGTTTTGGACATTTTACTGGTATGTCTTTTGTTCACCTTATTCATCACCCTGCACGGGGAAGGGAACACTTGCACCTGGAAACAAACTGTTGCAGTTTAGGTCCACGTGGGTCGACAGCAAAACGTCCAGGTGACTGAAGATGGAAGTATTTGACTTTTTTCATATACAGAGTTATGTTTATCTGTAAAAAAATATATATAAAAAAAAAGTCAACTTGAACCTTTGCATTTTCTTTTATTCAAAACACTTTTTTAGGTACTGTTTCGTGTGATATAGAACATTTAAAATTAAATTATTTTAAAATGGTATATTCAATCATTAAATATAGGTGTGCCGTGTGAAAGACAATGTTTGAACTGAATGTCTGTCCACGTTAGGTTTTAGAAACAATGCTGTTACTGCTACTAAAAAAAAAAAAAAAAAATTCTATGCATTTCTATTCTTGCAGTCGGTTAACATCCTTACTGGCAGGTTTTGAAATGCTGAACTCTGAGTTAACAAACACCTCAGTTACACCTTGGCCTGACAACACACCATAGGCTCTAGTTTAAACTTGCACTAGATTAAAAAAAAAAGGAAAAACAAAATGTACAAATGTAAAGAGTGACACAGGAGGAGTGGCGCTCCCATACTGTCAAGAAAAAAAACAAAAAACAAATGGACTGGAACCATGAGAAATCTGAGGTAAGGGTTGTTTTCATTTCAAAAATGAATTCCACACTACACTTCTGCATAAAACATGGAAACCGTTCATCCTCTTGGAATTGTTTTCCAAAGATTGATTGTGTAAAAACGGAAAAAAGTAACATTATCCAAAATATTTTTTTTCTAATCTATCCAAATGCCTAACGGTGTTCAACACCTCGGTTGTCCAGTTGTATTGTACCTGTGGTCTGCAGTAGAGGTTAAAAAAGGTGAAAGGACATCCAATGTACACTACACATCAAGTCTGTTGAAATCTGGACAGATCAGTGTTGGCCTCAGGAGGCAGCGTGGGTGGCTGTCAGAGAGGCCTCCTCATGTTTGAGGGCTTGAAGGTCCTTGTGGAGCGGGGGGACCTCTATCATGCTCAGCCCAGTGTGTGGGACACTCGTGTTCATGATGTGTCTCTGCAAATGTTTAATCCAATCCTCCTGGACTGACAAAGGGCCCTGAAAGACCAGGTCGCAAAACCTGTCACGAAAAAGAAACAATGAGGAACGTCTAATCAGTCTAGAACATTGTTTTCCCAAACTGAGGGAATATAAATAGATGAAAATGCGTTTTTCACGAGCCGTCAGACAACAGCTGGAGCGCTCTTCACTGGATATGCAATAACCGTTGTCTAATTGAAAGTATTAAGGCGAAAAATAATCATCAACAAGAAAGACCGACCTGCAGGTGAGACGGTACATTTCCTCTGGCGTCTGCGTTAACGGCAGTGTCTTCTTCTTTGAGCCAGGTCTTGATCGCTGCCTTCTAGCTTTACAACAGTCAAAAGCTAAAAGGGGGAGGAAGAAAAGTCATGAAATATTGTCATTATTGGAGAAGTAATTACAATCTTTATAAAATGATTTGAATCAAAACTAAACAGAGCCTAAAATCAAATGTTCTTTTTCAGTTAGTGTACTTACTAGTTCCTTCCATTAAGGCGTTCTTTTTCCTCTTTTCATATGCCCGCAAGTGATTGGACAAACTGACACCGCTGTGAAAAGTGGCGTTGCAGTGGACACACACTTTCCTGTTAAACTCGCCTTTCTCTGAAACGGAACAACAACAATACTGTGTTCAACACAGAGAAGAAAATGCAGATTTCACTTATGAACGATGGGGGGAGAAGGGATCACGTTACTCACCATTTAAAGAATTCGGCAAAGCAGAAAGTCTGGATCCTGAACAGTGTTCGCCGTTCGAAGAAACAGTGAATGAGTTTTTTGACAAGTGCAACGCCTTAACTCTGGTTTCCTCCTGACATTTCCTCTTCTTTAGAATCCCGATCAAGGCAGTCGCACCTGAAAGTGAATTTTTAACATCCAACTTTGAGTCCTCCTGCATTTCTTCAGATTCTGTTTCCTCAAAAGGAAACGTCAGGGGTTTAGCATCCATGCAGTCTTTCGCATCCATGGGTGATGGAGTGAATCGACCTGCAATGGGAAACTTTGGTGAAGTGCTGTACGGGAAATGGTCCCGTCTCCTTCCAAGAATTTGTAACGCCCGCTCCAGTTCCTTCTTGTCACGCATCAGTTCCCGGAGTAACATTAACGGAGTTTTTTTCTTTGACGTGAGGCTTCTGCCCAGCTTCTTGAGGTGGCCCCGTATGTGGTTGGACTGTCCAGTTCTGTTGTCAAACGTGTCCCCGCATAACGGACAGGAGTGTATGCTGTTCACAGTTTCAGAATCTGTCTTTACCCGTATAGCTGGACGAAGAAAGACAAAAAAAACATGTTAATTAAACGTGACATTCAAAATGTGTTATTGTTCCACAGAAAATCACATCTATTAAGTTTGAATCGAACTTAAAAATAATCAGGTTTCAAATATTACCTTTTTTCAATCTCCCCAACGTGGACGTCTTTCTTCTTCCACGCGGCTTCCGGTCCTCATAGGCCACCTGCTCAGGAGAAACTACATGACGTGCTTTGTAGCTCAGTCCAACCCTGTGAAGGTGCCCTCGGATGTGATTGGACAGTCCAACGCCTGACTCGAAGACGGCTGGGCAGTACGGACAGCTCTTGCGATCCGTTTCCAGGTCTGATGATTCGTCAAAGGAATCCTCCAGCGGTATTTGGTGGGTGTCAAATGTTTCTTGATAGATTTCACTTTCTACGGGTTCTTCTTTGATTTCGGGATCCAGCGGTTCTTGGCCCTCCGTTTTAATTTTCTCATACAGTCTTTTGGACGCCTGTAGAGCGCCCCGCATTGACATTCTTCTGCTATAGGTACACATGATGTTCTGCTTTTCTTTCTTGAGGCCGTTGTCAAAAGAGTTTTCATTGGTATGTGTGTCTGTAAACTGGAAGGTGCCTTCATCTGACATCTGGTCGTCTTCAAGTATTTTCTTTGACCTCAACAATGGATCCCCATCACACCTGTTGTGGTACGGGGTTGACATCTTTCGCTTGGACAATGATTTCTTCATGGTTGACGGCTCTGTGTTCAACCTGGACTCGCTATCTGTGTCAGCTACGCTAAAAGCCAACGTGTGGCCATTTGGGGAGAAGTCGGACTCTTCATCACGGTCGTTTTTTGAATCCCTACCAGTTGCCCTGCAGCTACTTCTTTCCCGGTTTTGGTGTGCAGCGTCTTTACAGTGTTTTCGTCGGGACAGAAGAATATTTATGGATTTGTCGAGCTTGGATTCTGTCACTTTGGACTTCAAATCTCTTTCAATCCTGCCACTTTTGAGGAGTTCTGAAAGGTCACTCGACTCACTAGAGGAATGTGCTCTATTGGTGATGCGATTTTTAACGGAGATCTTGGAGGTGAACTCTGCGTCTTCTGGAGGACTCCTACAATTGGGGACATATCCTGCCTCAGATGTTTGGGCATTTTCCTGACCAATCTGTGCAGCCAGGTATTCCCCATAGGTTTTCTGATGGCGCTGCAGGATGTGATTTATGAAAACCTTTTCGCTAAAGGTTCTGTACAAACACAGGTTACAGGAGAACGTTTCAGTGTTGTGTGGTACTTTTTTATTCTCAGGAGGAGGAGCTTTGCTATTATCTTTTTCGAAGCTTTGTTGGTGGCGACGCAGAAGATGATTCCTGAAGACGTCTTCGCTAAATGCTTTGTAGGAGCAAATGTTACAGGAGAACGCATCGGGACCTTCTTTCTGGGCCTGGACCTGAAGAGAACTGTGTTGCTTGATATCATGTCTGATAAGATCAGTCTCAATCAGAGTCACGAAGGTGCACTTGCTACATTTAATGAGGTTTTTCTTCTCTTTCTCGTGTGTTTTAGCGTGCTGTACAAACGTGTTCGGGTAGTATGTTACAAATGAGCACTGAGGGCAAAAGAGTTTCCTGGTTTTGTCGACTTTACTTCTGTCACCATATCGTGTCCTCTTCTCTTGGTTCTTGTCGTGTGTTTTTGCGTGCTGCACAAAAGCGTTGGGGCAGTTTGTCGCAAATGAGCACTGAGGGCAAAGGAGTTTTCTGGTTTTGTCCTCCTTCTTGTTGTTTGCATCTTTGAGCTCTTTAGTGACCCTCTTCTTCTCTTTGTGGACGGACATATGTTCGATAAGCAATCGACTTTGCCTGAACGACTGCCCACATTCGCGGCATGTGAAAGGCATCGGGTCGGCATGGGATTTCATGTGGCTAAGGAGATAATGCTCTTTCTTAAAACTCAGGTCACATTTTGCACAAGAGTAAAACGCCGGCTTTTCCTCTGTATGTGAATTCAGGATGATATTCCTCCTCTGTGGGGACAGCCCATGGCTATCGTGGTTTAAGTTGGAATTTCTTGTCGGGGAATTGTAAAACATGTCTTTGATAGCATTTACTGTACCGTTGGGGAACTTCGGAATTTTCTCCGTTGGTGGAAAGTTAGAGAAGCTTCTTGGCCTTCTGGAGTCTTCACCCTCAGACAGCTCCATCGATAATTTTTCTGAAGGATCTGTCATGACAACCATGTCCATCTTCCTTTTCCTTCTTCTTTGGCTGTCAGTAGCAGAAACGTCTTCTTCTCCAGACTCCATCTGCGGGCAATCCCTGTTGTTCTCCATCAGATACTCTAACAACTCTTGTTGGTGGCCCCAAGGAAGGTGACTTGCACTACTAAGGTTAGTTAATAAATTGTCGGGCGAGTCTTCGTCAAAATCCCACATTTCTGCACTTTCAATTTCCTGTACATTTTTCAGCGGGGTGATGCTTTTCTCTTCCTCTTTCTCTGTGGAAATGCTGTTGAGTTCGTTGGCTTGTGTTGCCTGATGCAAAGGTCCATTTTCCAAACCGACCGGGGAGAACATGTCAGTGTTGGACAGAACATCGAGGACGCTATTTTGTTTCGGAGAAGCCCGGCTGAAAGGGTGAGTAAAAGAGGAACCTTGAGCCATTTTTAACGGCTCTTGTAGAAGCGAAATGGCATTGATCTCAGGATCTGCATCCTTCCCATCTTCATCAGCACCTGGAAGACATGACTTTTCTGTTGCCATGGCCTGAAAAAAAAAAAAGAAGTTACAGGACAATGAAACAGGTGTAACAACTGTGCAATCCCTTAGGTTTCTATTTCCTAATAGTTTTGTGTTTTAGTAACAGCTATGTGGCCTTCTTACCCAACATGTATATTCGTACTCCATACATGTATTACTATTACTAAGGCCACGTCAGTAGAAGGTAAGCAAGCCTGCCTTTTCTGTTTACTAACACAGGTTAGTCTCGTTCTAGTTATCTTAACTTGTTACTCTATATGGACTATGCACATACGACCCCTCTGTGATAGATGGTGCTACACATTCTGGACTTTCCTGCTTGATTAGTCAGCTGACAGGAAGTAAGGAACAAACCCAACACAATGGAAATCCATACAGCTCCCAAATTTCTCCATTTCGCACGGCGTTGGAAGCAGATGCTTCTGAACGGCAAACAATAACGCACACCATGGAAGAGCTTCTGCACGACTCAAATGTTGTATAACATCGCAAAGTCAGCTGCAACGTTGATTGCTAAGGATTTGCAGTATTTCTATTTATTTTTGCAGGGCCTAAGCACATTGCAGTGTTATTACACTTCTATGCATTATCACCACTAAATGTTTTTGTATTAATTTCCCATTATTTAGACATTTGGTGCATGCAATAGCGTAACCTTTTCGTAATCTTTGTCGTAATGGTAAGTTCATAACATACTGTATCATTGGCCTAATAATCCTAATTGCATTGTGAAGTACCTAGAGATTCCAAACTAGACAGTTCTATTGCAACTTCCTGCCGACTCTAAAACAAAAGTTTTCGATAAATACAATACACATTATGACACTGGAGATTTTCATGGCAAACACTTCCCAAATAGCTACTGGCAGTACACATCTACTCCGTCATCTGAACTGTGGAAACTTGGCTACATACAATTCTTGTCAGGAAAATGTGTTTGCATGTTATAATCAAATTAACAACATTTTTTGTATATTTTGACACAATTTAGCCATTTTGGCAAGTAAATTCAAGGGCTCTAACTCTACTGCTGAATGTTTTTGTGTTATATGTGCTTTTGTAACTGCTTTACTACACTTGTCAACCAACAGCTGGTGGTCTTCGGTGTGCCAATAATCTATTTGCTGTCTTAGTCAAAAGGACCATGAAACAAAGATGGCTAAAATGCATTCCATTTCCTGTTGTTATTATTTACTACAGTCAACGAAAAGCCACAAGGTCGGTGGATTGAGAAGCGAGGAATTTGAAGGGCAGTAAAAGTGTCAAATGGGGAGATCGCTGTGAAAATGGTGTTCGTATCATCTACACAGCTGCACCGAAAATGTACGTAAGGATGGACCTCGTAAATGGCTTTTGATGAGCGGCTGTGAATTTTGAACACAGCTAAAAACTTTGAGCACAGTTGTTCAGTTTTATGCCATCCGACTTAAGTCGGCGGTTGTTTCCAATGATACATACACGAGCAAATCGAATTATTTGTGTCCGACCTGCATGCTAGACGTTGCACTTCTTTACCGTTTTTATCACGCTGGTTTGTTGGATGCTGCTTGCAAGAGCTGCTGCACACCATTCCATTGAGGCTGTTCCATACCAAATCTATTCCTCGGGCTAAACTAAAGCAAATTTAAATCGTTAAACCACACTTTCTTATCGGGTGCAATTTCTATGACGTAAGTCAGTCCCACCTTACCTCTGAGCAGTATGGATGCAGGCAGGGAACGATGTATAGCCAGCATTGAATAATTTCTTACTTTCGTCTTCCATCTATTTCACGGTCGCCATTTTCCGTGGTGGTCTATGTGGGGCAGATTATTTTTACATAAGGGTAAACCAAAAAGTCAACTATCATTCGCCAATGGTATGAAAGCAAATATTTAATCAGATAAATGGGACAATGTGTATATTGTTAATAGATTGTGACAGTTCAACAGTAGGTAAAGTTATCACACCGTATATTTTTTCCACGTAATGTCACGAGTCGGCGCAATTCCCCCCCCTCAAGGTTTGCAGTGGTTTCTCCCAGATAGGAGCCATACAAAACCTGAGTTAATGTCAATTTCTTTTGGTAGTAGGGGTTTTTGTAGGGTTATATGACGGTATATCAATGTTGTTTTTATTAAAGAGCGAAATACTAGGTAATATCAGATTTGTTGTTTTTGGCTTGACTCTGTGTTAGTTAAATTATTTACAGCTGACAATTGTTCGCCAGTACAGGAGAGATGTTCCCAGTATCCCCCAGTGGTGGTCTCCTCAAAGGTCTTTGTTGCCCTTGCAGCTTGAGATTAGCTAGTTGACTAATTCAGTTAAGTATTAAAAGAGAAACATTCACTTTTGTGTTTCAACACATTTTTCAATAAGTAAGAAAGAAATTATCCCTTTTCACCGTTTTTAATAGCTGCTAAATAATATCAACAAAAATGAGTGGAAATAGAATATTACCATCTATGAACGTGTCCATTAAAAGTCAGCCTTGGTGCTTGTTTGTGTTGATATATTTAAGTATTTAGTAAAAGGTGGTTAGAAATTAAATAAGGAATTGAATGGTATGAGTTATGAACCATTTATACAAGTATTCTTACATTCTTGCTAAACATGCTAATCTATTCCAAGCTATTAGCTACAAACTTAGCATTGTAAAAGGCACAAGAACATTTTTTCTTTTCAAAACATTCAGACATTCAGATTTTGCAAAGATCAGCTAATGCAAAAGGATAAAAGTTGTGTATGTATCATTTTGTTGATATTTAGTATTATAACATTTTTTTCTTTTAATTTATGGCTTTTAAATCACGCAAAAATAATCCTAAATGTCCTAAATGCATGACACTACCACAGCCATGTTTTAAAGAGGAATTATTGTTCATTTGGTAAGGTGCAGTGTTGCTACCCCCTGGCCCCTCTAAAGCCACATCAATCACCTTGTTTCACTGATGCCTTACATGATCTGATGGCGGACTCCAGTAACTATTCCTTGTTCCTTGACAATCTGTTTTTTGAGAAACCTGTTGTCCACAAAGTGTGAGTTAAACATCCCGATGTCCTTAATTTCATTTGGTCTTCACAGCCGTTTATTATCCTTATTATTATTATACTTTCTTCTATGTATTTGGCAGGAAGCCCCTCCAAAAGGAGATAGGCCTATGGCACCTAGACGTGGCTCCATCCCTGACTCCGGAGAGTCAGTGTATACAGGAAGAGGCTGAATCACTCTCCACCCTCAACAGTATGTTGTTCTATTGACAACTTTTTAAAAAATAATTTTCCCAGTTACCCAGCTCAGTTTGTAGTCCATTGAAGCCGTTTTAAATTTAACTGACCCATTAACAATTTTTAGATTCCAGGGGTTTCAATCTCTCTGGTTCCTTCAGGTTTACTGTACTTCCACCCACAGCTTCAGAATCATCAAACCCATTTTTACATACACAAATGTACATACATCCATTTCAGGTCTGATCTTCAACAAAAAACGTCATTGTCTCCAAAGACATTCTGTCCAGCCAGTCTGCCTTGCACAAATGCCCTCAGCAACAGGAAGTCTGGCCTCCACTGAAATACCCTTTTCCAGCATAGCAAATGTCTGTCCCAAACAACTCAAACACACACTTCCTGACTACTCTCTATTTGTCAGTTACTGTTACACAAAGGCACCCAAAGCTGACAAAACACTCCCCTTTATCAGGTATAAATTACTGTTTTATTCCTTGATTAGACAGAGAGTAATTGTCCCAAGCATTAACGCTGGTACCGCTCCCTGGACACGAAGTGTTGCTGAATGCTGTAGTTCTCCTGTTGGTTTCTGCAGACCTGTGGATCATTTTTGTATTGTCAATTGATTTTGCAAATAAACATCTCTTTCAGTAGCTGCCTCTTAATTCATAACCTGCCCATTCAGTTCAGTTATTTAGTTTACAACACGTTTGTGCTGTTATTGTACCACTTTGTCTTAATATTATATTACTGTTATGATTATGATTCCGTAAATATAGAGCTCATAATTTGCTCCCCTAAGGAAGTCCTTAATGAGGCAGAAAGACGCTGCTGCTAGTTGTGCTATATTTTATTCTTCACTAGGCCCAAAATGTGATGTAATACGTAGGCTTTCTGGATCATTGTTTACTGTATTTCTGTTCTTGTTTTTATTGTTGTATTTTAAGTTTAATTGCAAGTTTTTTCTAATCATTTGTGATGTGACTGTCAGATGATCTTTTTGTAAATATCCAAATTAAAGATGAACTAACTCTGAACCTTAATGTTCTTTTTGACTTACAGGTCACTCACAGTCGTCGCGTTCATTAAAAGTTTTTGCTGGTCTTGAAGACGAGACTTTTTTTAACAACGAGAATTTTGGAGAGATTCCGGAGACCCGTGGTGGCGCCAGCAGCAGCAAAAGCAGCAACACATGTGATGCCCTGTGGGAAGTCGAAGGATACAGGGGTTATTACAGTGGGAGTGACAGAGGAAGAGATGAATTCCTGCAGAACACCAGTCATGTGGAGGACAGCAGGAGGCATTTGGCTCTGGACGGCTTTAAAGACCCTCCTCTACGGAGAAGGTATCTCAACACCCAATCATATTCATTCCTGTAGTTGTGAATTTATAAGCTGTTATACCTGAAACCCTAAAACCTTGATGGAAAGGAGAGATATTAATGGGGTAGATGGTTGGGATTGGAGACCAGAATTTATTTGTCTTACACAAGTGAGTTAAAAAAAATTCCATTTAACTGGAAAAAAAATTCCATTTAACTGGAATTGGTGTCATAACTGTTTAAAGGAAACCCCAGATTAAATCATTTGTTACAATTCAAACCCAAAAAAGTGTCTCTATCTACCATGTTTGCCTTACCGTCAGAGGAAAGTGTGGCTATTCAAACAGTTGTTCAAACTTCATATCTTCTTTTCCTCTCCCCACAAAAGCTTGTTCAAGGTTCAGAAGTTGAAGACTGGAGGTGACTCACACATCTCAAATAGCAGCAGCAGCAGCAGCGGCAGCAGCAGCAGCAATCTGACAGCATCCAGACCTCAAACTTTTCTCACTCCGGTTACCATGGCGACAACTCTTCCCTCTCAACAGCTGCCCAGGGTGACAGTTTGCAAAGCAGATCTTCCTCCCCTCCCACGAAGGCCCCCTCTGCCGCCTCCGCTTCTGGGCTCATCTGCGGCATGTGGTCGACCCACGGAGGAGACAGCAGACTCAGAGATGCTGGACAAGGTCACAAAGAGAGCTTTTGTTCCGCCCATGACGCCTCAGCCACTCTGCATACAAGGTGCTGCGCTGCACTGACAGAGACACAGACACACATGCTGTGACATTCTACCACTGTGTTACCAAACACTTACCATATACTGTAGCTTATATAAAGTGTTACAGCTAATGAGGTTTTCTGAGCCATCTGTGGCAGTCGCTGCCTGGCTGTGTTTAATTGTGAAGAGGTAAAATGAGGTGAGGTCTCCTCATCGACCCCTCCAGTGTAATGAAGCAGGACGGGCACTAGGTGGTGTATCGAAGTAGTGGGCCATATTAATAAATTACTTTTAATACTGATTTTTAGAACAAATACCAACTTCTGAGCTTGAATAAAATCAACTGTTTCATATAAATGAATTAAAGTTGGATTACGTTTCAATTCTGCACCGTTTAGGATCATCTGGAGCTGAAGTTTTGCGTCCTGTTTCTGAAATACGTATCCTTTTGTTTCCTAAAAGAATTGAGACATTACATTTGGTACAGAATTCTTGGATTTCTCTTAACTGTGACATCACAGCGTCCAAGTTCAGATCTGTCTTCAAGGACTTCCCGTTTTTCAATTACGTTCAATCCAAAGCCCTTGATGATGTAAGAAAACATAACTCACATAACAGCTCTTATTGTGTTATAAAAATCTGTTATACTCTGAGTGGAGATTTTAATATTCTATTTGTTTACAGATTCTTTACACAGATAAAAACTTTGTGGCGTGTGCTCCCACTGGTTCTGGTAAAACTGTGTTGTTTGAACTGGCCATCATTCGTCTTCTAATGGAGACATCGGAACCTTGGAGAGATGTGAAGGCCGTGTACAGTAAGCAAACATTTGGTTTGAATGGGATTTGATATAAGTTTTAAAATTGGAATTAAAAATTCATTGTAATGGGAAGAAAAATTAGGAATGTATATTTTTTATTATATCACACACAAAGCATTGCATTGAATTGTTACACTTTCAGTCACTTCCAAGTTTGTAGAAGTGAAGTATAGTGCCTATAATATAGTATTATATAGTACTAAAATATCATATAAATACAGTACTATATGCATCTATATGTCATCTGACATGCATTTCTCTACTGTTTTGATCTTTCTGGCTCTTTCCAGTTGCACCCATCAAAGCACTGTGCAGCCAGTGCTTTGAGAACTGGCAGAAGAAATTTGGTCCTGTGGGCCTGAGCTGTAAAGAGCTGACGGGGGACACGGAGATTGATGACTTCTTTGAAATTCAGGACTCCCACATCATCTTGACCACGCCTGTGCGTCACGTAATTCTGAATCTGAACCAAACCAATGCATGAACATTTAAAGAAGTGAAATAATTTAAACAATTGGAATAGAATTTATGGATTTCTCCTTCAGGAAAAGTGGGATAGCCTGACACGGAAGTGGAAGGACAACTGTCTGCTGCAGCTGGTCAGGCTCTTTCTCATAGATGAGGTCTGTGATTATTTTTTTTCCTTTTTTTTTTCGTCGTCACTGGTTACTAAGCATCATGTAGCATGGTTGCTAAAATCCCTGTTTAAATTACAATACAACCAAATCATTGCCATTCTTCCTACTCAAGGGCCATACCTTCATGTGATTTAATTATTTCATTTGAGGAAATTCTTGCATGCTCTAGCTTTAATGCTAACGTTCAGTTTTACTTTTTTCAGGTGCATGTGGTCAAAGACACGACTCGCGGGGCCACGTTGGAGGTGGTGGTGAGCAGGATGAAAGCAGTTCAAACCTACAGGAACCTGCTGAATCCAGAAACAGGCCTTTCTATGAGATTTGTGGCTGTGTCAGCCACCATACCAAACATCTCTGATGTAAGTGGCAAAAATCGATTAGGGCAACACCACTTTTATTTGTATTTGAGTTCAACTGAGCCAGTAGTAATTCAGTTGGTGTGATGTTTCTTTATAATCAGATAGCAGACTGGCTGTCTAATGAGAGCGGCCCTGCCACGTATCTGGAAATGGATGAGAGCCACCGTCCCGTGAAGCTGAGGAAAGTGGTGCTGGGATTCCCCTGCGGCCAGAACCAAACAGAGTTTAAATTTGATCTGTCCCTCAACTACAGGATGGCCAATGTCATACAGACATACTCTGACCAAAAGCCAGCCTTAGTGGTGGGGGTAGAAATTTAACATTTATAAATTTCAATTTCTTCTTTGTCTAATTTTATTTTTATTTTTTTTCTGTAGTTTTGTTCAACAAGGAAAGGAGCCCAGCAGTCGGCTGGAGTGCTGGCGAAAGACGCTCGATTCGTCATGAGCATTGAACACAAGCAAAGGTTCGTGTGTGCCCTGTGTTTTGCATAAAATGAGCTGAAATCCAGACCTTCTTCACTTATTGATTATCTGCAATATGGTTTAGATTGATACAGTATGGAAACTCTCTTCAGGATATAAAACTGAGAGGTGAGTCTTCAGGAAACTAAGCTACACAACAAGCAACCATTAACTGACTGAGGTGAGTCTTCAGGAAACTAAGCTACTACTAAACATTAACTGAACTTAATAGACACTTAATAAACACCATTATGTATGTGACACAGACTTGGTGATGTTAGGAGTCGGGTACCACCATGCAGGAGTTTCCTTGTCTGACAGGAAGGTCATCGAAGAGGCCTTTACTCGAGGAGAGCTTCCTGTCCTTTGTGAGTCTTTTAATGTAAATTGTTGTAAAACTGCACCATCGCACCACACGGTGCTGTGTTTTATTTAGTTTGTAACACTGTAGACGGAAGCAGGAAGTTCTAGGGTCAGATGCCAGCCATCGATCGCTACAGTATTGTCAGCGAGATGCACTGTAAAACATCCATGTTGCTACATGCAATTATGTAAATTGCAACTTTAGCAAAAAGACCAGACAGATAACATGCTAGGTTTGTCAATAAAGCAGCATCTTCATTAACATCCTGCTCAATTAGCATGTCCTTCAAATTCAGTGCAGTTTTAGTTTTGCACATGCATACAAGGTTTTTGTTTTTGTTTTCGGGGTCCTAGTTACTACCAGGACTCTGGCCATGGGGGTGAACCTGCCAGCTCATCTGGTGGTAATTAAGTCCACCACACAGTATGTGTCAGGCTCCTGTGAGGAGTACAGCGAGGCAGATCTGCTGCAGATGATTGGCCGGGCAGGAAGACCACAGGTAACAGTGGAGGATGTTGATATAGTTTTATATATATATATATATACACACACACACACACCATGTTGCTACATTTAAATATTTCCCTCCTTCCTCCAGTTTGACACTTCAGCAACCGCAGTGATCTTGACAAAGGCACAAACCAGAGACAAGTATGCAAAACTTATGAATGGAGCGGAAATTATTGAGAGCAGGTACAGTAAATAACTGCCCAGAGTTTCACTGTGTGATTATTGAGAGCAGGTACAGTAAATAACCGCCCAGAGTTTCACTGTCATGTGCATGCAGAACAAGTCACAGTGCTATTTTTTTTTTTTTAAACCCGCAGCTTACACTGTCACCTAGTAGAGCACCTGAATGCTGAGATTGTTCTCCAGACAGTCAGTGATGTCAACATGGCTCTGGACTGGATACGTTCCACCTTCCTCTACATCAGAGCCCTCAAGAACCCGGCACATTATGGTTAGAGTTTAAAGGATGGTTAGAATTGAATTATATAGATCACTGCTGTGTTTGTTACTGTATGGATTCATGTGCTTCCAGGCTTCTCCACCGACTTAGACAGACATGGAATTGAAGCAAAACTACAAGGTGTGCCAGCTTTAAAATTCACAGAAGTAACATGTGACTAGGACTATCATATGATTGGTTAAAACAGATCAGCTCAGTATTATCTGCATAACAGTGACACATTTTTTAAATTCCTTCCTTAGAACTTTGCCTGAGGAACCTGAACTCTTTGTCCTCCATTGATCTGATCCACATGGATGAAGTCATCAACATTAAACCAACAGGTAGACAAGGGTTTCAATTGTTTCCTACGTAACAATACAGATACTATTCTGGTGAGTTGTTCATCTTTGCTCCACACAGATGCTGGCAAGTTGATGGCCAGGTTCTGTGTTGCTTTTGACACCATGAAACAGTTCTACCAAGTGACCGGCACTGAGAACCTCTCTGATTTGGTAAACAAGTAGAACTCAAACTGCGTTCTTTGTAATATTCCAAACCAACTCAAATAAAGTTTTACACAGCACAGACATGACATAATGATGTCTTGTTAAATATAGATTGGGCTCCTGTCCAAGAGCAGGGAGTTCAGCGACATCCAGCTGAGAGTGAATGAAAAGAAGACACTGAACACTTTGAACAGGGATAAGAACAGGACCACCATCAGGTCAGTGCCACAGTTGGTCATCATAATAACATAAAAGACTTACTGAGAGTTGGTCATCATAATAACATAAAAGACACACTGAACAATTACTTATAATAATAATAATAATAATTTTATGTTCGTTTCAAGATTCCCTCTTGAAGGAAAGATCAAAACTGCTGAGATGTCCCTCTTGAAGGAAAGATCAAAACTGCAGAGATGAAAGTAAACTGGTGGGTTTATTAATTCCCTATTAAAATTATTTTTTTATTATCATTCAAGTGTCTGCTGTATTCTAATCACACCTTCATTTCTCCTTCTTTAGTTTGATACAGGCTCAGCTGAGTTCCATCTCCATTCAAGAGTTTGGACTCACACAAGAAACAGTCAAGATTTTCAGGAACGGCTTGCGCATCAGTAAATGTAAGCTGGATCTCTCTGGAATGATAAGTGATAACACCGTATTGGATTGGTTACTTTACTGTCACTTTTAATACTCAACAGGTTTGGCAGAGTTATTGAGTCAAAAATCCACGACTGGTTTTTCTGCTTTGCTAAACTCCCTGATCCTGGCAAAGTGTTTCAGAGCAAAGCTTTGGGAGAACTCGCCCTACGTTTCCAAACAGCTGGAGAAGATCGGTGGGTTCAAGACTACATACAGTTTTTACACAATGTCTTCTTAAATGAAAGCAATGATAATAAAAAAATTATAATATTCTGTGTTTAAGGTCAGACTTTGTCGACAGCCATGGTGAATGCTGGACTCACTACTTTCAGCAAAATAGAACAAATTCATGCCAGAGAACTGGAGCTGGTCAGTTTAATGTAGTCTCAGAGAACTGGAGCTGGTCAGTTTAATGACTTACCACTTACCGTGATTAAATTATTTTAAAAAAAAGGGTTTACCTTTACCTAACATTACAACTTTTTTAAACTATAGATCGTCAACAGGCATCCGCCATTTGGCAACCAAATAAAAGACTCTGTCATTCATCTCCCTATGTATGAAGTTACACTGGAACAGGTAGTGCTTTTATTTACACTTATATTTATGTAGTACTTTCCACTAGGTGGTTCAGTTGAGACTTCATCTCTTTGTTTCACTGCATATGATACATTTTTTGTATTTGGTAGCTTCCACGGTACAGCTGTGCTACGGCCGAGATTGTGGTGAAGGTGAACCTCAAAAATCAAGCCCAGCTGCTCTCCAAGAGAACGGCCCCAGACCATCACTATGTCTCACTGATCCTGGGAGACACTGACAACAAAGTTGTTTTCCTACAGAAAGTCCCGTAGGAAAAAAATATTTAATCTTCCTTTTTTCACTATATATATATATAAATATATGTCACGCAGTTGTTCATTATTCCTGTGTTTCAGGGACATGGTTTTGTTGAAGTGTGGAACATGGTCCAAAAAGATAGAAGTGGTGAAGGCTTCAAAAGGAGAGGAAATCAGTGTCAATCTCATCAGCTCAGAATATGGTAGGATAGAAAACCCTCCTTATTATGAATCCTTTATCAGTCGATACACACCACCAACACATCCTGCCAATTCCTGTCTTACAGTGGGCTTGGACATCCATCAGAAGTTCAATGTCTACTATTCTGGAGCCAGAAGGTTTGGTGCTGATAATCCCAATAGTATAGCACATGATCCTCCTGCACCGAGTCCACCATCCAGACGTCAGGCTTTGTCCCAGCAGGAAATTACAACATTTGTGAACAAACAAGGCACAAATACTGCAGGTTCGTTATTTAAAAGTTACATCATTTAAACTGTAATTTGATGCTGGACATAATTAAATAGTAAAATGCATATGTGTTTTTGTAGCCGGACCAAACAAACGAGAGTGTAACCACTTCTGCAAGAACAAGGAGCTCTGTGGCCATGACTGCTGTGAGACAATAATCCCACACTTGATTAATAAATCCCTGCATAATAGGCGTTTTGCATAACTTACTGTTTGAGGAAATAATGATTTGTATTCATGTCTATCCATATGTTACATTCCATTACAAGGTAAGGTTGGAGTATCTGTGGCAAAGAAGAGGTCAACGGGTCAAGAATCCGGTTTCTCCTCCTATTTGAATGATCTGCGGACCAGGTGTGACACACTGGCACAGACTCCTGTCAAGCGACTCAGGGTAAGGATGTTAAAAAACTAGACAAAAAAAAGGACTGTACATGATACTAGTATAGTAGATACTAGTACATAAAGATACATTTGCTCATAATTTCAGACGAACCAAAATCTATTTTCTAATATCAATAGACTCACAATGTTTTTACATAATGTTATTTCCTTAGATGAAAATGGATGAAACGTCTGTCAACATACAAGAGTTTGCTTACCAGCCTCAGCCAAAGCTTCCTTCTGTTTACAGGTATTTTCAGAACTACAGAGTTTACTTCCTCAGTGGCTTTATAAACTGCTGGAAAACACATGCTAGTTTTAGAGCTTTAAGCTAGTAAAACTGTCAGCTGACAAGTTGTCTGTGATCAATAGGTATGGACGAGCTCACAGTGAACCATTAGTGAGACAGAACGCTGAGATTGTAGATCTGACAGGAGAAGACTGCTTCGGTCCCACGGAAAGAGTCCATTTGGACAATGCTGACAGTGGTAGGTCATGTTAAGAAGATACTGTAACGCTGAAATAATCATATGTAGAGTGATAGGTCAACAATAGCCTTTGTCTGTATTGTGTGTAAACAGTGTATTTCCTCTTTCTGTCATATCATTTTCCCTTTATATAGATTATTATGAAAATGATGGGGACATGTACATGGTGGAAGAGACCTCACAGACCCCTGCCACACATCATTCTCACCATCAAAGTAACGTCAAACCAGTCACACACTGTCTGGACTGTCTGATTACAGGTTGTAGATTGTAGATGTTTTTTGATATTTGTATCCTCTGTCTTCAGGTTCCTTTGTGTGGCAGAAACAAGACACAAGTGGTTGGAGTCAAGGCCTTGAGCAGAGTACAAACCAGATCAATACTTCCAGCTCTGGTTACTCCCAGAGAGTCATTCCTGTAACCAGTCAAGTCACTCACGGAGCCACCGCTTCATCCTTCCAAATACCACCAGTCAGCTTTGACCTGGGAAATGAATGGGACGACTGGAGTGATTTCGATGATGAGAAGTTGGTGCGTGCAGCTCAGACATCGTACGAACCAGACCCTCAAATCCGAAAGAAGCATGAGAACAAGACACCAGGTGAAGCATGAGATTATTTCTGGAGCTGATGAAATAATATTGGTATTTGTTTAGCCTAAAATGGCACATTTTGTCATCTTTCAACCAACAAATGACCTGCAATAAATTAGGGCACACAGTTAAAAGGCTTTACATATTACTTCTTGTTGTTATGGCATAGATTTGACATGTGCACTCTTATTAAATGTGTTTTCTCTACTACAATATCAGCAGCTGCCATCGTCACTTCCTCCTTAGCCCAACCCAACTTGAACACTACCAGGACACCACTGAGGTAAGGAGGAAAGCTAGACCTATATCACATTCAGTGTTTTTGATATTAATTTAAAGAAAATTAATTTATTTTTCAGAACAATTTCGTCCATGGTCACAGTCAGGCCAGAGAATAAACACACACTTGACTGTAATAATAAGGTAAGTGAGCATGTTTTTACAAAGATTTCATGGCAAAAAATTGTAAGTGCATTGTGGTGGATGAACAGTGTTATTTCTTCCCTTTCTGCTTGTGCAGAGATTGAGCATCATCCATAAACAGACATTAAATACATTAGAAACTTGCCTTAAACAGACGCCTGAGCCTCAGGCAGCCATGGGGTTTGATTTCTTTTCAACACTAAGTGTCGGAGCAAACACCGGCTCACATGTCAGCCAAAGGTATAAACGTATTGCTTCATTAAAAGGATTTCCTTTTTGTCTAATGAAAATGTTTTTGGGATAAACATTAAAAAACGTTATTGATGTTTTCCATTTTTATTGAGGTAAACCTCAATAAAAACATGCTTTCTTTCTCTGACAAATCTTTTCTTTTTTAGTGTCAACAACAAAGAGGAGGAGACTTTGTTTGGAATTTTTGATGGCATATTATAAACGTGATTGTCGTTAACTGATGTGAGGTCATTATATTCATATGTTTTTGTTCATATTCATTGAATGTGTGGTTGAAGTGTTTACCAGTTAGTAAAATATGATTATACCTACACAAAAAACAATTTGCTGTTAAATTAACATGTTCCCTTTGTAACACGTTTGCATTCCTTTATTTATTAAAGGGTGTTCAGTCAGTCACAGAGTACTGTCAATGATTTATTCAATATTAATAAGAAAATATCTTATTTAATATTTTATTTAGGACAATGTTATATTTCAAACAATTGGTGGGACGCAAAATAAATTATGATTTTTCCTCTAGTTTATTCAGGAATTCCACATATCAAATTATAGATATCTGAATTGAGTATCAAGTTAATTTATAAAAAAACTTAAATACTGCAAATTGATATAGTCATTAATTAATACATTTTATTGTTTAGTGAGTCTTTCAATACTGCTTCCGGGTTGTGCCCACTTGAAAATCTCGTGCATTAGCTGACGTAACGCGAGAATTTTATGTCACTTTTAGCGCGGAGTTTGCTGGCGGAAAAATACTCTCCCTGATGCAGTTCTGGACGGACAGAGTAAGTTTTAAACTGTTCCTTTATTGTTGATGACTTTATAGTTTGCTTATACATTGTTGTTTCAACTTCAGGCCAAGTCTAAGAAAACTAGACCTTTTTTGTTTAATGACAGCGCTGAATGGGTCTTTTCACTCAAACCTTCGTTAGCCCGTTTGACAGCCCGCAGCTAACAGAATTAATTTGTTAAAAAGACAACATCCGCAAATACGCTTTTTTCGATTCTGAAATACTCAGAGTTGGTCTCAAGGTCAAATTTTTTATTGTTTTACTTTAGATGGCGATGTCCCCTGTCTGCAGTGAAAGCTTTATCACCGGTGGAAGCGACGTAAGAAATGACAAAGCTCAAAGAAAAAGGAATGTTTCACGTAAGTTTTAACCATCCAAGACCTGAAGAATTAAAGTCAAGTCATTTTGAAACTTCAAGTAGTTAAACAACTGCTTGGTCAACAATTTTTAGAATGATTTAATGTTGTATTAAACAAAAACAACAACTGATTTAATGTTGTATTAAACAAAAACACATAGAGTTATTAGTAAGCAATTTGTAAAATGTGTACAACGTTATCCAAATCACAATTATCAACAATGTTATGACTGAACATAACTGTTATTTTCCTCTCCAGGAGATGTGGACGTAGACATTGAGTTCCTTTACAAGTCTATTCCCCAGGTGGCCAAGGTTTTCCACATCATAGACAAAATTGGAGAAGGTACAGGGCTGTGCAAACTCTTTTGTTTGAGAATTTGAAATAAATACTACTGTCTGCTGAGTGGCGTTTGGCTGATTATATGAAATCAGCATAGATCACAAATTTCCGTGTCCTGAATCTGTGCGTTAGGTACCTTCAGTTCAGTTTACCTGGGTGAGGCTCAGCTGCGCGATGGGAGGAAAGAGATGTTTGCTCTCAAGCACCTGATCCCGACCAGCCATCCCACCAGGATTGCTGCTGAGCTTCAGTGTCTCACTGTGGCTGGGTGAGTCTGAGCACCACTTATTTTTATTTGGAAAGCTGGAAAAATGTATACCTTATGGATGCATTGCTTTTTGTGTTTCAGTGGCAAAGAGAATGTGATGGGGGTGTCCTATTGCTTCAGGAAGGAGGACCATGTGGTGATTGTCATGCCTTATATGGAGCATCAAGCTATTGTGGTAAGTGTGTGTTGGTGTTGGTTTGGGATGAAACCCAAAAAATATTAGTGCTGCAGGATCTGAGGAAAAACGTGCCACAACAGTGTTATTTAAGGAGAACACAGACACAAATTCATACTCTAACCTGATCTTTGAGCACTTTTGTACACTTTAAGACTCTGCTATTTGCATTTTGAGAAATCTTTTAGGCACTGATAAAACTTAGGACACATTTAATAACAAAAGCAATACAAATAAATTCAGCAAAAATCTGCTTGGGGAGTGTGTGATATCTATACAATTTTGCACTCTGGTTTATTCATTAATTATTATTTTAGAATGGTGTCATTTTGGTAGTTGTATGTGGCCCATTTTCTCATTTTTCTTCCACAATTGTTATTCATTAATCCTTCATCAGTGTTGTTTCCATGCACGTGTGGATTGTTTGGAAATGTTTTTGTTTTACTTCTAATCCAATCATGATGTATCTGTCAGGACATCATCGGCTCGCTGACCTTTGAAGAGGTGCGTCTGTACATCTATCATCTGTTGAAAGCGCTGAAACACATCCACCAGTTTGGCATCATTCACAGAGACATTAAACCAAACAATTTCCTCTACAGCAGGAAAAACCAAACGTGAGTATCTACTTTAAATCTACATCTGATTCTTATCTCATTTCAACCACAGGAAGTGAGTTCCAGCTGAAAATCAGATTGTCAATAATGTATCTCCGTGTGCAGGTATGCCCTGGTGGACTTTGGCCTGGCTCAGGGAACAGCTGACACCCAGATCGACCTTTTGAAGGTGGTGCGACCTAAGGCACTGAATAAAGGTGGAGGGTTCACTGGGAAACAGGACAACACTTCCACCGCTCAGCGGAGCAGAGCAACACACGCACCCCGAGCCCAGACCAAATCTGGTTCCAAAGCCTTCACCTCACTTCCTGTGCCCTCCAGGCAGTCCACTACTCTGCCACCTTCCTCTTCCTCTTCTTCTACCACCGCCAGCACAACCACATCTTCCCCAGCTTCTGGGATAGCACCAGTTAGAAAGACACGTTCTGTCACCGTCACCACCTCCACCTTTTGCACAAAGACCACAAAGGTGCTGATTTACTGGTCTGTCTGATTTGAAGTAACATGAGCACTGGGCTACAGATATGTTTGTGTTTGGTTTCTGCTTTTACAGTAGTGAGATAAGACGGGACAACCTCTGACAGCCTGAAAGAGTGATATTGTAGACTTCTTAGCAATATCTATATAAAAACACAATTTGAACAATGCTAAAACAACAATCAAGACTTCTTAGAAATATCTATATAAAAACACAAGTTTGAACAATGCTAAAACAACGATTAAAGTAATATAAAATACTTTTCATCTTCTTTAAAATGTTATATTACAGCAATGCATATTCTTCCTAAGGGAAACCCTCCCTCATATATACTCAGTATTTTAAGGAGACCTGACCTCTTGACCTAAAGAGTTGTCTCAGGCCTACAGGAAACAGATATTAACATCTTATAAGTCTGATAGGAAAAGATTTCCAAATGTTTCGTACATTCCACTGTCCAGAAAATGGTCTTTGAACCATTTCAATGCAACTATTTAGATATATTATTATATTATAACAGATTAAATATCAATATATCAATCACCATTACAATAACACAAAGGCTTTCATCAAGTGTCCCAATTTTTTGTCGTTGCTAAATTCTCTATTATGTTTTTATTCACTTACAGGATTTGAAAGGACTTCGAAAAGAGCAAAGGCCTGTGTTTGGAGAGAAGAACCTGAACAGCTGTCCTCCTGCTGCCTCTCTCACCAAACAAGCTGTGGCCGTAAGGAGGGAGGTAAGAAAAGAAAAAAAACCCAGTATGATGTTAAAATGAAGAATATTAGTTGTTTCCTCTCTTTTTGTTCTAATAATTTTATGGCTTCATAATGTCTCATTTTTGTGTTTTCTTTTTTTTTTTTAAGATTGTAAAGCCTGTGAAAACACAGGACCCAGCCATCCGCAGGCATTTGTTGACCAGTCGTCTGCCCCCTGCTGTCAGGACCCAGAGCAGCAGTCAGAGACCACATCGGTCTGTGCAGCAGAGCTTCACGTGCAGCTGCTACATGACTGACCGCATCTGCAACATCTGCATGTCCAGGTAACAAAGATGTACTTCCAACAATGGTTTGATCGTTTTGTTTCTTTAAGCATTTTGAACGAACTGAATTTTTAATGAACTGAATTTAATGAATTCCTGGTTTTGACTGTAGGAAGCAGCAGGTGGCCCCCAGAGCTGGAACTCCAGGCTTTAGAGCCCCTGAAGTCCTGACCAAATGTCCCAACCAAGGCACAGGTGAGTGACTGGAACACTTTTGAACAGCAGCACAAACACTACGTTACCTGCCTAACCCTGACCACTGACGTTCATGTTTTTGTTTTTATTGTTAACGTGCCTGTGGTACAGCCATTGACATGTGGTCAGCGGGTGTGATCCTGCTCTCCCTGCTCAGTGGACGTTATCCCTTCTTCAAGGCCAGCGATGACCTGCTGGCCCTCACTCAGATCATGACCATACGAGGCTCCAAAGAAACCATACAGGCTGCCAAGTTGTTCGGTTTGTATTTTTTAATTGTCATTTACGACGTCCTCGACCTGTGGTGTTTCTTGGTTACGACCAAATTTGATCAAATTACATCGTCTAAATGTATCGCAAGGTAAGGATTTACTTTTAATGATATTTCACCTGCATCCAGGCAAGGCAGTGATCTGCAGTCGGGAGTTACCGCGCCAGGATCTGAGAATCCTGTGCGAGACACTCAGAGGACAAAGACCGTCGACAGAAAAGGAGAAAACTCATCAGGAACCCTCACACAGCAGCAGCAGACGGACCTCAGAGACTGAGGACGACGCTAAGGGCTTTGACCGAGTCCCTGGTGAGGCCTACAACCTGCTGGACCGCCTGCTGGACCTGAACCCTGACACCAGGATCACAGCTGCTGAGGCGCTCCAACATCCACTGTTCCAAGACCTGCAGGAGGAACTTTAATAGGAGAGATGACAGTAACGTAAAAGTGTGTTTACATTGGCTGTTCACCTTTTTTTTTTTTTTCAAATATGTGTATATATAGTATTTGTACATATGCAAGTGTGTGTGTATATACATTTTTTTACTACATTAATGTAATTCAGTTCCTATTAGATGTTAAATTATTACCACTGAATTTATTTATTTATGTAATAAAGACAAAACTGACCCAACAGAGTGTTACTGACAGTTGTTTTTGCTTGTTTCATTTTAGTGTCACCTAGGACACTGATGTTTTGTCCAGATATCTGGTGGTTAATTTACTTTGTCTTGGATAAATTCTATGTGGTCTATGAAGATTCTCAGTCATCCAGGTTCATGGTTGAGGAGTTCTGTTAGGCAACTGGACGGGAATTTTCACGTGTAAAGAAAAAGGTCTCGTTCTGAAAAAAAGGAAAATGTAATTTTACTCTGTGAGACAGGGTGTACTTGTTCAACATTATTACACTGTTGCTACAAACCAAATCGGTTTCTCAAAAGTTTCTCATTATTTTTAAATAGAAAGTCCAAAAAAAAGGCAACTGTTATACAACAGATTGTCCTGAGATGCAGTAGATAGACGCTGACGTTGGAGAGTTTTCTAGGGAGTTTCCTGCACGTCGATGAGTTCCTCTACTCTCACCAACACGCTCTCAATCATGTCGAATGTGTGCAGGGCTGAGTGTAGAGCCTGAAATAGATCACATCACAACGTGCACTATATAAATATAACATCATTTCCATTAAACAAATCCTCCGGTGCACCACCAGAAAATGTCTCAAATATATAATGATCTTCTAGTTTCAATTTAGACAAAGAAACAGTTTGGTTAAGAATCATTGGTACAAATGAAACAGTCACTGACCTGAATCTGCGATTGCGACGTCATCTTAGGCAGCTTCTCATCACCGACAGACACAGAAACCTTCATTTCCTCTGTGAAAAACATCCCATCTTTCAGAACAAACCTGTCTCTGCTATTATCACTGTGTTTTTCACATTCATAATACAAGTTGTTGAGGAAAAGAAAAAGCTGCTCTGACCTCTGGTCTTGGCTTTCTTGTCCTCCATGGTGTTCTGCAGCTCTTTCTCATAATGAGCTCTCGTCATGTTCAGCCCGACTCGCAGAGGCTTTGTGAACGTATCCTCGATCTTATAAAGCTCTGTCCAGATCCCTGTCTGTGCACAAATGGCAGCAAAAAAAAAATGTAAACAAAAAATAAAGCAAAAACCCATGATGGATAGTTGAAACCTGTTCTCACCTGGTTCTCTGTCACTTTGTCTCTGATGATCAGGTAGCGCAGCAGGTTCAGAGACTCCATCAATCTGACGAAAAAAAAAAATATTGTTAAAGTTACAAACAAAAAAAACAGTAAAGTACTTGATTGGCTGATAAATGAGTACTTGTGCTCACACCTGTCCAAGTACTGCAGCAGGTCAGTCTCTGGTCCGTCTGGTAGGATGAGAACCTTCCTCAGCAGAGGCAGCAGATGAATCCCCAGGAACCAGGTGTTACTGTTACCAGTCTGGGATCAGACAGAACGACTGTGAATCCTCACAGACTGACACTAGTCTTTTTAAACAAGTTAAGAAACAACTTCTGATCCAACCAGAAACAAACACCCACAGGGTATAAACTCACCTGCAGGGCAGAGTTGATCTGGTTCTTGATGTTTTTGATGATGTAGCCCTGGACTCCTGAGTGACTGATGGCCTTCAGTGTGTACCTGTGTGTATAAAAAATATTTCGAGGTCAAATAGATAAAGAGAATATTTTTTTCTTTTCTGAAAACTCCAAGGATGAGCCTTACTGGAAGAATTTGTACTTGGCTTCAGTGTCAAACTTGTCAATGCTCAGCTGGAATATTTTCAGACCTTTAGTTCTCTGATTAGAAGAAAAAAAAGAAGCAGAGTGAGACCTTGTGTTTGTTCCTGAATCCTATTTTTATACCAAAGTTAAAACTCACTAGATCGTGTCTTGGGCACATCGTCATGACGTTCACCAAGTTCTGCAAAAGAACATAGAGAGATTTAGTAACATTAGTAAATAGTAGAGGGCAGCAACGGACAGAAAGAATCACCTTGGGGACAGTGAGGAAAGTTCTGATCTCCAGCAGGTCAGCACACAGTGTTCCGTCGTCCACCCGCAGCAGACTCTTCTCGTACAGCTCCTGTGGGATGGTGAACACACACGTTCTTCAGAACACTGAAGAAAATACCACAACAGTGGAGGACGATGAGGTTTAGCACCGGCACATCTGGTATGTTCAGGGGCAGGTTGTTGACAGTTGGGAGAGTTATACATTTTTGTTAACTTTCAAACTTCCAAAACTCAGCTGATGAATAGTCAATACCATAACTAATAATTAAGGTCAAAGGTCTTTTTTTTCCTTTTTGTGAATTATAATCTAAGGTCACACGGCGGCAGCAGGTAACAGTGTCCACTGATATTGTCTTAAATCGGCTTTAAATGCACCAAGAGATCAAAAGGTTATTTTATTAGAAAACATGAATTAAAATAATATTTCAATATATATATGTACTCACCAATCCCTTCTGAATCATGTTCTCCTCTGTTCTAAGAAAAGAAAAAATAATAATAATCAAATAATCTCCATCCAAACTCCTGTTAATGTTTTAAATATATCAACATTAAAAAAAATAGTTGGATTTTTCTGTCCTATGACGTGGCTGTGGATGAAATGTCGCTTATCTATGTCTGGTTGTTCAATTGTGCCATACGTGTCACACTTCGAATTTAGGAAATGGCTGTGATTTCATGTCAAGTTTTTACCTGGACAACAGCAGGCAGATGTGCTCCATGTTACAGCGAAGGCAGAAGACGGGACTTTAGGGAGTGGAGGAATAAAATCATTAGTTATTTTTACAAATTTGAGAATGACGTAAACTCTCATTAGACTTGTTTCTAATCGTTTAAAACAGAAGAATAATTAGTTGTACGTGATTAATTACCTGTAAACATAAGAAAAAGCATCGGCAGCCAACAGATGGACGAACACCAGGTGTGTCAAACTGGCCAAAGACTCTTTGGGATAACGAACCTCCTCCTCCAGAAATCCTGGCACCAGTTTTCTTTTCAGCACTGGCCGGTGAACCAGAGCGGTCAGAGGTTCTCCAATAGTTCTGAGGATATTCTGTATCAGGTAGACTGAGTTAAAGACATACATTTATCTTCCCAATATGGTTTTTTGCAAATAAATGGACATACCAGAATGTCTTCGGCAAAGTTCCTGAGAGGAGACACAGCCAGCGTGTCGGGTTCCTTGAGGTGTACCTCCAACAGGGGGCGACTCAAGGCCTTCATGCAGCTACAGAACAAGAAAAGAAACACATCGTTCAACTATCACTGACGCTCTCTGCCACGACATAGTCATCGTTTGGCTGGAACTCTCTCACGTACAACTTCAGCAGTTCTGTTCTCAGTTCATCTTCCTCGTCGGTCCTCTGTCTGATGGTCATCTTCTGGGTGCTGTCGCTCAGCTCGTCGCTCTTCAGCAGAGTTCGACTGACCTCCTGGACAAACGGTCTGACAAACACTATCAGGTCAGTGCAGCTGCGACAAACTGAAAAGACATCGTCCTCCTCCTGCTCTTTGGTCCGGGGCAGAGGCAGTTTGGTCACCTGGTCCAACACGGAGGACAGGGTCATGCCTAAGGAGGAGGCCTTACGGTTGCCAAGACGCATCAGGACTGAGAGGAGAAAAAATCATCAGAGGTCAGAGGTTACGTCTCTGTATGAAGCAGCAGGGCATGTGTGAGGCAGTGATGCTGACCTTTCTGCAGAGGGGTCAACAGCAGATGGACACTCTCTGCGATGGTGTCTGGATCATCATGCTCCATGTTCTCCAACAGACCAATAAGAAGCTCCTTGGGGCTGCAGGACTAGAAAAATAAAATTGAAAAAAAAAGAAAAACAAATCATTGCTATGATCTACAGTGAGACTCTTATCACCCAGCCCTCCAGAATGTTCTCTGTTATTTCTATCACCGTGGAGACCAACAAACCTCAATCAGGTGGTTGAAAATGGCCAGGCACTGAGGAACATTCCGTTCTTCTTTCTTAAGCAAAATTCCGACCAGTGGAGGCAGCAGACTCCAGCCCATATATCTCACTACCTCCTGCGAAGAGAGCGTAACAAAAGGCCATTACATAGACAGAAAAAAAACACATTTATAAACATGACGTTAGTATAAGTCTTTAACGACGTACCTTATTCTTCTCATCCAGGATAATACTGAGGACCTGGGCAACATTTCCCTCCTCAATGCACGTTCTGCCAGATATCAAGAAGACGTCCTGATCCTCACTGGTGTAGCTGTCCACAGGAAGTGCTTGCTGTATGAAAGTAAAACACAACACAAAAATATCAATGTTTATTTTAGGTCAATTCATAAGAAAAGTATTCAGCAGCTGACACAGTTCCGTTTGTTTGTAATAATATTCTAAAATAAAATTCTATTTGCAAGGGGAGTGCAGTCTAAATACAGGTAAATAGAGGACAAAAATACTTACACATCTCTGGACAACATCACTGAGCTGCTCCAGAGCCATCACTGCTGTTTCAGCTTAGGTTTGTCAGCGAATCGACTTCTTCCAACACACAGGGGAACACATGTCAATAAACACGAACAATTACCTTTAATATGTGCGCCTATAATACACTTATTACACACAAGCCACAAGTAAATGAAATATGCTAGTTTCTATTCGTTAAAACTTGCCTTGCCTTTAAACTGGACTTTTACCTTTTCTGCTGTCAAGTCAACAACTGTCAGTCTTGTCACCGGTTATACTTCTATGTCTTCTTTTATAGATAAAGACAAAAAAAGAAATAAAAGATGATGCATGTTCCAAAACAACCGGACTAAAACTGTCACGATGCCGGGCGGATTCATACAAGGCTTTGCGCAGCTTTATTGTCCAACGGCACTTTCCGTAGGAGTAATACGTCACAGGTCAGAGTTGAAGTAGTGACAGGACTGTCATGGCGGCGGAGGAGCAGAGAAGAGGTGCAGCTTCGACAAAGGCTTCAAAAAAAGGTTAATTCCACTCCCACAGTACATATCCTCCGTGTAACCCTTTTAAATTTAAACTATATTTAACTATAGTTTATAAACTGTATATAAATTACGCACGGTAGCGTGTTGACTGTAAAGCATAAGAAAATGTCTTCAGAGTTAGAGTTGTGTCATAACTTTTCATTTTTCGTATTGTCATTATTGACAGGAGGAAACAATTCCAAAGAACTTATGGCTGAACAAGAGGCAAGAAGGTGGGGAATATCGATTCAATTCTTAATTAAATAGGCTGACTGGTTGCTGTCCTACGTTATTATTATTAGTATCAGATATTGTTCAGTCGTTGAAAATATTTATTGATGATACAGTAGAAAACAGTGTTGTTGAACACACATTAAGAGAGAATGTCATATCAATTGCATTAAAATTAATAATAAAAATATGTACTTTCTTGGCTGAATGTTATATTTTAGGAGAGAGGAGGTGAGGGGAAAACTGAGGGAGACGCTAGAGCTGGAGGAAAGAGCCCTGAAGATTGTGGAACGACTTCTGGAAGACAGTGTGACTGAAGATGTCCTGGTGGACTGTGTAAGTGTCTTTTTAAAATGTTCCCATAATAGTAAATCAGATGGAATTCAGTTTTGTTGACCATATTCTGCTATTCATGTTCCCTATGACATATGTTACTGGACATGATGATTTATTATTATTGTATTACTGTATATGATCACCCACCGTCTAGTCCTAGTTTCTGTTCCACAGTCCTTATGTTGACCATCTGTGACATGTTTGTCCTATTCTAACAGGCCAAATTCATCACTCCGTCTTACTATAAGGATGCTGTTGAGGAGAGATTTATTGTTAAACTCTGTGGTTATCCCATATGTCCAAATAAACTACTCAAGGTAAGATCATTCGTAACATTCTAAATCCTTTGTAGGAAGTTTAAGTTATTATTTAAAAAAATAATATGTATATATGTTGTCCTCATAGATCCCAACCCAACAGTATAAAATTTCAACTAGGACGAATAAAGTGTACGATATTTCAGAGCGCAAGGTAAGACTTTTTATTTTAAATTGAAAAAAAAAAAAAAAATATATATATATATATATATAACACTCAAACAATGTTTTTCTTTTTGTTTTGCATGCAGTGTTTTTGTAGTAATTTCTGTTACAAAGCCTCCAAAGAGTTTGAACTGCAGATATCAAAGACACCACTGTGGCTCAGGCAGCATGAGAGGTACAGTACGGCCCAAACTGCAGTCGTACTTTTCTAATATTTTGACGACATAACAGCATTTCCTTCTGTCTTCACTGACAGCCCTCCTGAAGTAAAACTGAAGAAGAAAGGTGATAAGTATGTATTCTATTATTTAATTAGACACTTAAAAAATAGCTCTCTTTTCTAATCTGACTAATTCTAATGTCTTTTTAACACTGGTTTTAGTGGGAGCTCTGGTGAAGAGGTGGTTCTGTCACAGAAGTGGCTCCAGGAGGAAGATATAGAGAATCCATCGGCAGCTCAGTCCGCTGATCACCACAGCCTTCCTACTCACAGTGACAGCAGTGACTTGGAGCAGGAGCAGGACTTTGTCTCCAGTGTGGTCTCACGGCACCATGGACCCAGGGTGCACTGGGGCGACCTGCCTGACCGATCAGGTGAAGCCGGGCGAGGACAACGGGGAAAGAAAACGACGAGGGAAAAATTGAATGGAGTGGTGAATGGGGAGAACAAGCATCGTCTGCAGTGTAGACACAAGGAGAAGGAGGCGGGGAAAACGAGTGAGAAAGATGACACGACAGACTCTAGAACTGATGCGGAACGTCTTCTAGAACAAGGGAAATGTGCTGTGGAAGAAACTACGGCTAAAATGGACCAGTGCAGTTTGTCTGGAACAGCCACACCCACTGTTCCTACACTTGGAGACCTGACAGATGCACAACAAACTACTGTCTCAAACCCAGAAACAGAGAACACACCACCGTCCTATCAGGACAGCCCCAGTGCTGCCGACCCTGGACTCCACATCACTCAGGTGGGTATGAGTAAGAAAGGAGCAGCAGGTCTGCGTGATCTCCTGAAAATCCATAATGTGGCTCCCAAACCTGAGTCAGTGCACTTGAATCTATTTGAACACTTGAAGAGAACCCTAAAGGAATGGATCACAGAAGAAACATTCAGGTTTCTCTACGGTGCTGACGGTTTCACGAGCTCCACATACACTGAAGAAAAGGAGGAGGATGAAGAAAAGGAGGATGAGGAGGAGTTGGATGAAGATGACATTGAAGAAGAGGTGAAAGAAATGGATTTCGCAGGAGCTGATGCTGGTGTGGTAAAAAGGCCGTCAGCTCCAGTCCCAGACTATCAGGCTCTAAGGAAGGAGACGCAGCAGCTGGAGCTCAGAGTCAAGGAGTTTTATAAAGGGACGTGGATTCTGCCAGAAGAGGAGGAGGGGGCTCCTGGTAAACAGAAGGTAAGGGAACCATTTAAACAAAGAAAATACAGGAAAGAAAACAGCAGTCCCATTTGTTATAAGAGGCAGTAGCCACACGAGGGCACTGTAACGGATTAAAACAGGGTTTTATTGACGCGTTATCCTGTTGCTGGTTTGATTTTTATTCTGTAAAACCACTCACACGTATCTTGTCGTTTGTCGTCCACCAGGTGTCAGTAAAGGACCAGGGCAGGACTGAACCAGTTCTACCTCTGGTTGACTCTCAGGCTCAGCACATCATTCAGAAACGAATCGCAGTGGAGAAACTCAGCAACTGGTGTGTGTATATTTAATCTAAACTGCACCAGTGCAGAGACCTGAGGTTCATATTTTTATCAGCAGTGAAATAAGGAATTATTTTAGTGGACACGTGGTAGAAACTTCGCTTCATCCTCTGAGGTTTACATGTTTACTGACTGTTTGTACCCAAACTGTACTTTTCTTCTTCTCTGCAGTCTCAGAAACATTGTGGGTCCACTGCGTCTCACCATGAGTGATGTCTCCCCAGACCTGAACAAACTGGTTAGGACATTCAGGTCAGTACAAATCTGTTTAAAAGATGGTAGGTTTATACTCTCAAAACATCTGTTAATGCTTTATTTTTTTTAAGTATTTTTTTATTTCTTGTTCATCATTGAAATAACAAACGAGATATATTACCTGTATGAATACTATACACATTACATTAAACCAGTACTCAAATAGTGGGGCGGGACCCCTGGGGGGGCGCGTCAAGGTGCCAGGGGGGGCTCCATGGGATGGAATAATGCTTGAAGGATAACAAGCCTCCAGTCACTAGGTGGCAGCAACTTATGCAGTGGTTTGTCCAGATAAAAATATACATGTTATCAGGTTCTCAAAGGGGGGGGGGGGGTGGAAAATAATTAAGCACCACTGCATTAAACCGTCCTGACAATCACAGTGAATCAGACAATGTCGGGTTTGATTTAAGATTTGTTTTTCTTCATAATCATCAATATTTTTCAGTTTACTCGGACATGGAAATGTCAAATTGTTCATCACTCTGTCCAAATCCTCAACAGCCGATGACACACTCAGCGGCCGTTGAGTCGACGGTCAGTCTGCTGTCACAGAGGAACAGGAAAGAGATTTGTGATCGTTTTCACACTGAGTGTGTGAGACGTTTGAATTGATAAGAACTCCCTCAGGGCGGTGAGTCAGCTATCAAGTTGACTCATTTATTTCCACCCTAGTTCCCAGTACCGACCCCTGACCCCCGTGACCTCACTCTGATTGGGGTATTTTATAACTGTATTGTTTTTAAATCGTAGAGTGTACGACGGTGATTTAAAAGAGTAGAACAAAATGGTATATACACAGGACTGTCACAGAGGTAGTACACACTGTACTTCATCAAGTATTCTAGGGTATCTCCTGGTTAAATACTTCACTGGTTTCACCACAGGTTCACCAACACGAACATCATCCATAAAACTCCAGAGTGGACCCTCATCGCCGTGATCCTCCTGCACATGTGAGTTTACTGCGTGTGTGTGTGTGTGTGTGTGTGTGTGTGTTGCTGCCCTATTCTATTATCAATGTGTTGAGTCAGTAATCAAAGACTGGTATTGTAGTGTACGAGGCTAAAAGGTCGACCGTTCGCAACATCATTTTATTGGTAAAATCGGAGGTTCATAGTGTGGCATTGTGTCAGGCCGTGCCATATGGTGTGTGTGTGTGTGTGTGTGTTGCTGCTCGCTCAGATCCGTGTTGCTCCCGTCTTGAGTACACAGAGACTCCTCTTATCTCCACCTGATTGGGCCTCTTAACATCCGTGATGCAGGAGGCACACACAAGCAGCCCTGTGCACTGTCATATTAAACACACACACACACACACACTTATTCTTTGGTACACATTCAGGCAGTGTGGGTTTTTTTAAATGGCCCCTGGGTGGGAAAACTTTCACCTGATGCTGGTCTAACTCTGATTTATGACCCCTCCACAACACTAACCTAAGTTTTGGGTCTTTTGTTGAAGGAAGAAAAAAAGGATGCAGTAATTGTTGTACAGCTCGAGGTATAATGTGTAAAACAAATCTGTCACACTTAAGGAAAAACAATGTTCCTATGGTTGTGAACACTTCCCCAAAAATGTGTTACACAAATATGACTACAGGCTGCAAACAGGAGTGTTTATTAGCAGAAAAGTGTGTTAAACAACTGTTCTTTTTTTTAAAAAAAAAAACCATATATTTATTCAAGAGTGTGTTAAACAACTGTTCTTTTTTTTTTTTTAAAAAAACATATATTTATTCAAGGTAGCACTGAACAGGGTCTATTCAAATACAATGTTTTGAATTGGTTTTCTTCAGGTTTGATTATCATGGCCTTTGACATGTTTAATAATGTTCAGGACAGAAGCCGTCTTTACTTCTTAAATATACTTTTAAGTCAACTTTACATAGGACATAGTTTAATTTCGAATTTTCCCATAAATCTTTTTTTTTTGTTGTTGTCAGAATCTTTTGAAATTACATGGAAAACATTAGCTTTAATGTCATGAAAAATTGTCATCAGTTTGACGTGACGTTACTTTTGTGCCTGACTGTTTCTATTATTAGTCTGTTTTTAAAAACTCTTCAATAATTCAATTATATAAGATAAGAATTTCAGACACATTGCACAGAGGTAAAATACTTTTTTTTTTAGAATTTAACTACAATTTCCTGAAGTTGTTCATGAGTTTGGCTGAAGAAGAAGAAGCCGTGATAAAACGACCTCAGGATTGGGTTTGTTGTTTTTTAAAAGGACGTCAGTTTCCTCTGGAAACACACGTTTCCCTCCAGGTTCTCTGTATGATTTCATCAGTTGTGATCTAACTTCAGGCTCCTCCGTGGTGCCATTGCTCCATCATGAATAATTTGGTGTGGTGTCTTATCTGTCTGCTGCGTGGCAGCTGTGGAGCTAGTCTGGCCCTCTATTGTTCAGGCCGGCTGAATAATGGATGCCCCCCTGCAACATTAGACCCCGGGGTGAAGCGGAGACTATCCAGCAGTGCACCTCCACAGAGGTGGACACACAACAGGTAGAGAGAGGAGGGAGGGAGGGAGGAGGAGGGGGATGTTGAGGGTTAACGCAGCTACAAACAGCTGATTTAAAGCTGGGCTGATGCTGGTTTGTGTTGACGTGACACTCGACACTGTCGCCCTCCAGCGCCACCTGGAAATCCTTAAAGAGGTTGTTGTAGTTTAGATGAAGAGTTCGTGATAGGCCGGGAAATAAATACACACCTCACAGAGATTAGGGTTTGTTTTTGTTTATCCTGAAGGTGAAGGGAAAAATGGATGCCTGTTAGCAAATCAGGTGAAACAGAACCAGGATTTTTCAGATATAAGTTGAGAGTCCTGTCAGTTTGGGAGGAACTATGAAAAAATAAATTAACAAAACTGAATTTGACTTGTTGTTTGGCTGTCAAAGAAATCAGGATGCATGATGGGAAACCATCAAAGGAGTTTGAGAGAAAGAATGAATGACAGTAAAATCGTGTGTTTTTGTTGGTGCTGAGATTTGAATACAATCTTTGTTAAAGTCTTGGATCAATATTGAGACTCAAAGTGATGAGTTCTAAAGGCTGTCGGATGTTTACGTCTCTGTACGGAATATGACCTGATTTGCAAGAGTGATATATATTTTTTTCTTTCTTTTTTTTTCACCCCAGGATGTCAGAAGTGTGTGTGGTTGTGAGAGAAGCCTTGGAGGTGACGGCATCGGTGGACTATTTGAACAGCCTCATGAAGGAGCTCGGCTTAGAGGAGCGGGATCTGTCCACCCTGGTTCACATGTTAAAAAGAAGCAAGTACAGCGAATGACTGACACACACATGCACACGGACGATGGAATCATAACAACAGATAATGATGGATAGAAATAAATGAACAGACACATTAGTTTGTTACCTGACTTGATAAAAACAGAAATCTGATGTAATGTTTAGTCCGAATTTATCACAAGTTCTGATGTTAGTACTATACTTTAGTACTTGTTTTGAAGTGTTCTGAACATTTATCATAAAAATAATAGCAGAAAAATAACTTTTTTACACTTGGCTAGCTATTAGAGCTAACTATAAAAAGCTATTTCTGTTACGTATTTGCATAGTGTTTGGTTATTTCTGGTCCATTTTCTTCCTTCTGTTGAGATAACATCCTTAGAATATCCAGTTCCGGGTGGAGTGTTCAAGAAACTCCCAAGTTTTCCAAATTCTTCCCAAACGACTTGATCAATACGTTTGCAAAAATGCCATGAATTTGTACGATACTTATATCTATGCTAGCAGTTAGCTGTCGGGTATCATGATCTACAGTAATGACTCTGCTTGTGCAGTATAATGCAGATATGGTGCATCAGCGGGAGAGTATGCACACAATCTGTGGTCAGATGTGTTCAAATCAGAGATGTGGGACTTTGCGGAGCAGTGGATGTTTGACCTGCGCTGGGACAAATAAATCACACCCAGCTTTCCCAGTGAAAACACCATGCGTTTATGGCTCCTGCTGCCATAAAAATGACGCTACCTCCCCAGACTTCCTTCACATGAGGCTTTATGGCAGCCAAATGTCATTTGTTATATGGGTATGTTGACAATGCATGTGTCTGAAAATATTTGGTTTTTAACAGGTGGCGCACGCTACGAAAACGTTATTCCTTCCAATGCACTGCAGATAGAAGTCGGAGCTGTCAGGAAGATTGGAGGCGTGATTGATGGCCGTTTCTCCTGAGCGGGCGAACAATCACTGAGGGAAGGCTGAGAGATTTTTGATGAATAGCATTGAAATGTTTTCCTGTTGATTGGGACTAGTTAGCAGGGAAATGAAGTGGGATCTTCCTTAGATAATGAAAAATGTCTGTCTTGGTCTGTAGTAGATCAGGTTGTGAAGGAGTTCAGAAGGTCAGGAGGATTTGTAGTGCAGTGGAAACAGCCATGTTGTTGTGACAGAAACCGACAGCAGTGCTATGTCCTATTGTCTCTCTTATCTCTATCATTATTGCTAAAACAAATGTCTGGTTCTGTGAGGTCAAAGATTAAAAAAAAAAAACACCTGAAAATGTATGTGTTTGAATGGAAGAGTCAGTCGCTATGGCAACGGTGCTCTGCATATACTGTATATGTAGTAGAAGTACCTGAGACTGGTGCTACTGATGTTTTAGACCATTGTTTCCCAAAGACTGGGTCGTGACCCTCAGGGTGGGTTGCAAGAGATTTCACGTTTCCCAGGAAAAAAACCCACACAGGTCGTGGGTTGTCTTGCATCACGTTTCCCAGGAAAAAAAACCACACAGGTCAAACTCAAGGCCCATGGGCCACATTTGGTCCATCACGTCAGTGTTGTGGCCCACTGGGGTCGCCAACCCCATGTTGTTTTTGGACAAACACTTTAAGGGTTAGACACGCAAATAAAATGAAATAAATCTGTAATCCAGTCGTGGGCCGGATCGGACAGTGCGGTGGGCTGGGTTCGGCCTGCAGGCCGCCATTTGAGTGTTGACTGGATGTGTTACATGCAGTGGACGTGTTCCTTCCGTACTGTACACACGAGGAGTAATTCACAGTTCTAATTCTGTAGTTCCAGTTCTTATCAGAACATGATGAATGAAGGAGGACGGAGGTGGCTGTTGTCGCAGCACCACCTGACCAAACCCCGACACTTGACTGTTATAGTCTGCGTTTTGGTGTTTTGAGTCATGGACGTATCCTACTGTGTACGTGTAACAATGTTGTTATTTTGATGTGGATATTTAGACTGTGATCGCATCGTCAGTGACTCCCGTTTTCGGCACTTGGTATGTTGATATGTGCTAATATCAGACATTAGATTTTGGATGTGACCCTTTTATTAACTATGTATTACCTCAGAGTAAAATACACGAAACAGACAGATGAGCTTCAGGAGTGACATTTTATTATTTTTCACCATGAGTCCAACAAGTTCAAGTACATCCGCTGCGTTTCCAGTGGAACGCAGGCAGTTTAGGTCATAAATTATTCAACTTTAAATATCAAGAGTTCTCAAACACTAAGCATAAATACGGTATTTCTTTATCTTCGGTTAAACCAAGCCGAATATTTAAGGCTTAATAATTAACTATATTTAACAGTAGAAAAAACAAATGAAGGGAAATAAAATAGGGTCCAAATAATACATAATTAGTGAGTAAAAAGTGCAGCGTTTCATAGAAAAACATGGACATGTGGTTCATTTGAGTCCGTGCTGTGTCTCCTTGTGCCTCCTCAGGTCCACTTTCCTCTGGAAACCTTTTCCACACAGGTCACAGCCGAACGGTTTGAAGCCCGTGTGTTTCCTGCTGTGTGTGATCAGGTTGGAGCTCTGGCTGAAGGCCTTCCCACACACCTGACACTTGTGTGGTTTCTCCCCTGACACAGAATGAAAAACAGCATTAGAGTTTCTCCATGCTTTTATGCACAATTATCACACATTTTATTTTATTATTATTATTATTTTTGGCAACTTTGGTTGCATATAATTTAAAAAAAATTATCCTCCACTTTTCTCCCCATGTCTTTGCTAATTCCTATGTATTTATAGGCTAACTATTGACTGGTTTTCTTACATGTATAAATTTGCTACATTTATTTCTAGCTCTTTGACGACTATAGCTGACATTTCTATACTTCTGGTTATTTATATTTATGGTTATTTATATCTAACTTATAGGCTACTTCCTGGACTTAAAGCGACGTGATTTTTCTGTTTATTTGGGGGTTTTATTTTTTCCTGTTTACATACATAGGCCTTAAGGAATTCTTATAGTTTCTTACCCGTGTGGATGAAAGTGTGTTTCTTCATGTCTGACTTCTGGTGGAACCTCTTGCCGCAGTACTGACAGGGATAAGGCCGTGTGTCCGAGTGGATGAGCAGGTGCGTGGACAGCGTGGAGGAGCGCTTGAAGCTTTTGCCGCAGATTTTACAGCTGAAGCTTCTCTCCTGTTAAAAAAAAAAAATCATTGACTTTAAATAAGGCCTGAATGAGGGGACAGATTTAGATGATTTTGTTGTGTTCTTCTACATTGACTTCAGTATGAAGTTGACCAAGTACCTGGGAGTGAACTGCTCTGTGCTGATCCAGGCTCACTGCGTGGCCGAAGGTTTTCCCGCAGATCCCGCACTCGAACGGCCGCGTCCCGCTGTGCGACCGGCGCACGTGAACCTCCAGGCCGTGCGGAGTGGAGAACACCTGATGGGAAGTTTAGATCCATGACATTTCGTTTTGTTACACTCTCAATAACAAATAAAAAATAAAAAATAAAAGCTGCATTAAATGGGCCGAACCTTGTAACATTTGATGCACTTGTAGGAGCTGTTGGGCTCCAGGCTGGAGCAGATAAAATCCCCCTCAGACTTGATTTCCGGCCCGCGGGGCTTCTGTTTGACATCCAGATACAGCTCGTCTGTCTCACGCATCCTGCGCATTTGTTGGGCCGTTGCAGAATAATCCTGGTAACATCCGGCCGCAGATCCTCTCTGTGAGTACAGCGGGGCCTCGGGGCTGCTCTCCTCCGCGCGGTACATGCCGATGGCTGCGCCGGGCTCCCTGTGGCCCAACTGGTGGTGCTGATGGTTGAACGGACCCTGGACCAGGTGCCGGAGCTCAGAGCTGGAGTAGGCTGACCAGGAGTAAGGAAAGAGGGGGAAGTTGAAGTGGTGACCGTCCTCCGCTGCTGGAGTGGAGCACTTGTCTAAATCTGGGGATTAGTTTGGATGGATAATGTGAGTTTGGGTGGAAAATGCTGCTGTGGACTAGATGTCCCTGGTAGTGTGTCTTACATCTGTCCCTTAAAAATATCTCCTGGAAAATGGCCTTAGATGATGCGTAACAACATCCTCACTAACGTCTCAATTCCCCCTTTTTTAAATTTTTTTTGTGTGTTTAAAATGCATAACATTTTGTTTTCTGTAATATAAAAACATTTCAAATAAACAAGCAATATTAATTATTTAATAAGTTAGTAAGGTATCATTTCTATTTCCATGAACATAATAAAATGTTAACGTTTTTATAACGTTTTACGCGGCCATAATTTCGTAGTAGAATAATATTGTTTTTTTGTTTGTTTGTTTGTTTATTTTTACAAAGATTGTTGTTAAACTTTAGTAGAAAAAGAAGCTTTAATGATATTTTTACACACCCGGTGAGGAGGAAGGAGAAGGAGGTCGCCAGAAATCACAGTCAGAGTTTCGGTCACAAACGCTGTCCCCGCAGCTCAGCGGGGAGCCGGAGGACAGAGACCCCGGGGACAGCAGCCTGGCCCCGGGGGACAGTCTGTCAGCGCCGGCGCTCACGTCTTCCTGCGGCTCCTGAGATTTGTTGTTCTCTGTTTAAAAAACAGTCAAAGTGCAAACACTTCTATTGAACTTCACTCCCACTGACTGGACAACAATAATAATTCACTCATTTGTATTAAAATCAACCGCATTCGAGAGAAACGGCGCAGAAGAACGTACCCAGACAGGCGTAAGCCAGAACTGTATCCAAGCCGCAGTTGTCATCGTCGAAAGCCCGGGGCTGGTGGTAGCTGTGGGCCCGTTTACTCTTCACCAGAAAAGACCTCGGCATTTTCTTTTATTTCCTGCGTCTTCTTGAATTCTTCTCGTCCGGTCTGAGAACCTGCGGCACACTTCACCTCCTCTTCACGCAGCTCTCTCTCTCTGTCTGACTTTATCTCTTGGGACACTGTTGCTTGACAGAGTTGAAGACACTGCGTTGGGATTTTTGGCAGCTCATTACGCATGCGCGCAGAGAAGCCGTCGTTTACCAGGTGTCGCAGGTGCAGGTGGCCAAAGGCTGGACGACCCTCCTCTCAGAGTTAGAGGTAGGGGCGGGGGTCCACGGAAGTGTGGCATTGAAAATCCTCAATAGACACTCGAACTTTCCAGGTTCTTTTGTTTTATTGTAAAGAAAAGAAACAAAAACATTTAACAATGTGAAATGAAATTCTGACGCATATTGAAAGACAATCGCGCTCTAACTCTGACATTTAGTCACACATTCAGATGTGTTTTAATATAAAATCCACTTTTCCCCCAACACATTCAAATACCTGACTGACTGATTATTTTGAAATGAAATTGGTTATTAATTCGAGTCAACTTTGGGATTTGTAAAGACCAGAGAAGAGCAGGCAGTCAGTGATGGATAATGACCTGTTTGTTTGAGGCTTGTAAAGTGATCCTGTTAATGAGACTCTGCTCAACAGCCTGTCGGTGGAGAGCTGAGTATCCCTTTACATTTTAAAACACCAGCTCTACCCCTGCAGCCCGGCCTGACATCATGTCCAGGGGCTGATGACGAGTCCTCACATGGAAATGTGGTAAAAAAAAAATCTCAATCACAGATGTTTTTAGGAGGTAAAGTAAGTAAGTCAGTAACTGTCCCTGGTAGAAATCTGTCAGAGTCAAACGACAAATCATGACCAGGATTTGGGACGCGTTCAAGGTCACAGGAAAGCAGAGTGCTATCAGGTGGTGGTGTTTTTTTTTTCTGATGTGGGAACTGACTTTATTTGACGCAGCTGCCGTCAAGTCAGTACAGACCTGGGTACAAAATACAGATAGATAGCTGAGGCATAGAAGCAGTGGTACACATGTCTCACACACACACACACACATACACACCCAGCCGTGAGGAGACACGCCGTCCTCTTCTCTGTCCACCATGTGTGTCAAACTAACAGTCGCAGGACGTAGAGAGCTACAGACAGACCACAGACCCAGTCCTCACTCCTTCACTCACACGAGCACAGTCTTCACGGCTTCTGTTTACTCCTTCCTCATTAAAAAAAAGAGAAAAAAAAAGAATTTCCGTCTCATTCGGCCATGACTGTCAGTTCCACTGTATTTTTTCAAGTTCTTATTAAGCAGAAATTAGTCAATTTAACTGATTTAAATGACTCTTATCTTCATTTTTAAATCAAGTTTAGAGCTCATGCATATAATATAAAAATCATATATGTTTTATATTTATTCAAGTCTGTATTTTTAATGAATTAGAATCAGTTATTGGCACCGTATAAAGACATGTGAGTGAACCGAATTAGAATCAGTTATTGGCACCGTATAGGAGCACAGGATAAACAGCTGAAGAAAGGAGAAAGATGCAAACCGAAGTATAATTTCTATCATTTCAGGCAGAAAGGTGAAAACGGAAGTATAATTTCTATCATTTCAGACTGGATACAGTGGGCAAATGTGTTGTTTTAAATGACTTACAAGGACTTAAAAATGCCCCTCTCACATTTGCATGTGAATTACATTTGTACAATTAGAACAAATGTCTTCCCGAGTAAAACTGACGCTTTTTAACAGTTGTCATGATAAAGCAGGAGGACAGAAGGAGCAGAAGGTTGAACTTGTTAAACTTAAACTGAAGTCAACTGTATTTAGGAGAGAGTCACATTTGAAGCGCTAAAGAGAGAGAGAGATTCAGAGAGAGAGAGAGAGAGAGAGCGCCGAGTGTAGCCCCCTACTGGACAGTGTGGTAATACATTGTTTGATAAATAAATAGATATACTTTATTGATCCCAGGCTGGGAAATGACTAATTAATATTATTAATTAAATATTATTCTGTGGCACACATGCACATATATGTATATATATGTTCCAGCAATATGAGGATGAAAAAGACCCTGAATTATTTTTATTTATTGCAGAACAAAAAAAAAAATCTTTCACTAACGAAAAAACGGTCAACACCCTTTACCATAACAGGACGTCAAATTATTTTATCTTCACTGTCATCTGTCGTCTATCTTTACTGCAGCTGCCGGCTGAGTGTGATAGTTTACTGAAAACGAAAACTGAGGTGAGAGAGCCACAGACAGCGTCGATATCATACAGGTAAAACTCAATTCTGACTCTGACTTAGAACAGGAAACCAAGTGTAGTTCAAAAGGCTATCAGTGCTGCCACAGTCCCCCCACTCTGTCTCACTGCTCACTCTGTGAAAACCCCACACCACCTCCTGCTCCACTCCTGCAGGCCTTGATTGTTAAACTCTCATGTATGTGATTGAAAATAGACGCACCAATCGCAGTTAGTGCTGTGGTTAAATAAAGGGCCGCGTGCTGATCGTCTGCACCTCAGTCCCCTTCTTATGGTCTCCGCTGGGGACAAAGATAGTCTGTGAAGCTGTAGACGTTTAAAGTGAGCACGGGGCTTTCACACCGTATAGATGTAAATGATGTCAGGTTCACAGCAGAGATCCTCTGACATGTCATTCGTAAATGACTAGTAAAGTGAAATGAATACACAGTTAAATCAAACACACCCGCCTTATTTTTAATGCTTATCACAACACGGGCTGTAACAGGAAGTAGCCGGCCTGTCAACAGTTCATACGTACAACCAAAAATCTCCTCCTTTAACTCAATAACAAACAAAAGTCTGATACATTTCGTCACAGTTTTATGTCACAGTTTACTCTGGTGAAACTGCCTCTCCTTTGTCAGGTCCTCGGTGTGAGCGCTCAGACCAGCACCGACACTCTGCTGTGGCAGCTCAGCCAAAACCACATCACTATCTCATCCCCTCACAGGTTCCTCTGGCTGCAGGGGCTCTAACCACAGGGCAACAGACTCGCAGCCTTCTGTACAACTACCCTGGTCCTTTTCTCCACCACTGCAATCAGATTTTAGGCCTTTTCAACCACACGGCACCCCCACCCGTCCACCACCACCACCACCATTTCCCCCCCCTCGAGGGAGTGGCTGGGGGAATGTCACTGGGCCCTTC